AAGTGACTTAGGACCATTTTTCACACTTACGACCGTTGCAGCGTCCCCGTCGTCACGTGATCAAAATTCAGATGCTTGGCAACTGGCTCATATTTACAACGGTCAGTGTGTCCTGGGGGTCACGTGATCCCCTTTTGCGACCTTCTGACAGCAACGTCAGCGGGGGGAGCCGGATTCGCTTAATGACCACGAGACTCATTTAACAACTGCAGTGTTTTGCTTAACAACCGTTGTCAAAAGGTCATACAATATATGTGACTCACTTAACAACCACCTTGCTTAACCAAGGAAATTCTGGTCCCAATTGTGACCATAATTCGAGGACTACTTATACAGTAGTCAATTTTAGATAAGGCGGGGTGGCGCAGTGGTTAGAATGCTGCATTGCAGGCTAACTCTGCTCACTGCTAGGAGTTCGATTCTGACCGGCTCAAGGTCGAGTCCCATTTTTCTGAGATCGATAAAATGAGGACCCAGATGGTTGGGGGCAAGAGGCTGACTCTGCAAGCTGCTCAGAGAGGGCTAAAGCATTATGAAGCGCTACTGCTATTGCTGTACCCTCTTTCTTTGATCCAAGGTGAGCCAAAGTAGCACGACTACAGATTCGACCTGGATGGTTATCATTATTATTAGAGGGATGATCTCATCTTTACTTTGTCCAGCTCAAGGCTGGAACACACTGTCCTCTTTTCTCCATGATCACAATCGGTACGAGAGGGAGCAACTACCCCAGGACTCAAATTAAATTAACCGCTTCCTGGTTTTTTTTAAATCCCATGTCTTCACTACACCTAATTCTTGAGCCAACCTAGCAGAGCAACTTTGGTTTCTCAAAAGCCGCATTTTGTCATGTGGCCCACACTAACAGATCTCTGAAGTGGCTCCTTAGTGCTGCGACGAAGAAGCGGGAGGTTGTCAGCTGGTGCTCTATTCAACATCCAAGAAAGAAATACTCAGACTCTTTTAATTAGAGAAAAGGTATCTTTTACTGGAAATGAAGCGGTAGCAACGCGAAAATTCTGAATCTGAGGAAATAGGCGCATAAATCACATATACAAAGTGATAGAAACGTTCCCACCCCCAATAGTTCAAATGATTCTTCCAATTAAAAGTTGTGAATGTCATCATGTGGGCATCTTCAGGTGGCGATGAAGTTTCTGTCCGTTGACCTTGGCATACTTTGATAAAGGTTTGCAGCTGCGCAGAGAAGAGAAAGCTAAGCAAGGAATAGAAACCTAAGCAAGAATGCACTCTCCCCCCCCTCCTCATTTTATACAATGCTAATTTATACCACCTCCAGCTCGCTTCCCAACTTGTCCCCGCTCCTCCCCCCCGTTACTTATGGCAGCCGAAAGATGCAAAGCAATAGTAGAAGATCTTGAAGGCTGACAGAGGTATACCTAGTCTCAAGTACGTGAAAGCAAAACAAGAATCAAGGGACGGAAACTAATCGAGGAGAGAACCAGCCTGGAACTAAGGAGAAATTTCCTTTCAGTGAGAACAATGAACCAGTGGAACAACTTGCCTCCCGAAGTTGCAAATGCTTCAACACCTGAAGTTTTTAAGAAGAGATTAGACACCCGTTTGGCTGAAATGGCCTAGGCTTTCCTGCCTGAGCAGATCACTAGAAGATCTCCAAGACCCCTTCCAACTGTCTTACTCTGTTATTTCTGCTTATCTGTTTACCTACCTACCTACCTATCATCTACCATAATAGCTATCCATCTCTATCTCTATCTACCTCTGTATCCATCCATCCCTCTATGTCTCTGTCTGTCTGTCTGTCTCTCTTCCAATATCTGAAGAGCTGCCACAAAGAAGAGGTCCACCTGTTCTCTCCAAAGCCCCTGAAGGCAGGACAAGAAGCAACGGATGGAAACTAAACAAGGACAGAAGAAACCTGGAAATTTAGGAGAGATTTTCTGACAGTGAGAAAAATTAACCATTGAAATGGTTATGGTTAATGGGTGTTCCAAAACCTAGATAGCTACTTGTCCGAAATGGTACGGGGTGGGGTGGGGGGTTGCATTAAAAGACCTCCAAGGTCACTTCCAAGTCTGTTATTCTTTTATTCTTAGCCCAGCCGGAAAGGAAATCCCATTTTACTCAGACTTCATGTTTGTTTATGTTTGGGTTGCACTCCAGTCTGGTTTGAGACTCATCCTTGAGTCTTGGTGTTTTGATTTTCCAGGAAATTTGACTCTTCTGGGGTTTTTTTCCCCCTCCTTCCGAGAATAAGACCTTCGAAGGCTTTCCTGCCTTTTGGTGCTCTGCATATATATATATGTGATTAGATCAACCGTTGTTCCCCAGCTGGTGTCTCTAGTATAGCTGGCATATAGCCAATATTTAATCGGTTAGGCAGGTGGTGACGTTGTGTGTTTGTAAACCCAGCCAGTGTCTCTTGAAAGCTGCAATTTGTGGCTTGGGGCGTATTTTTCTTTCTACGGGTAATCCTAGACATAAGACCAGGGTTTTCCATTGAAAGCAAGGCAGTTGTTTCTGTTCATTTTATGACTGTTTTTGACACAGTTGTTAACTGAATCACCGCCGTTGTTAAATTAGTAACAGGGTTGTTAAGTGAATTGGGCTCATGAATTGACTTTGCTCATCAGAAGACTGTAAAAGGAGATCACATGAGCCCTGGACATTGCATACGTCATAAATATGAGTCAGCTGCCAAGCATCTGTGTTTTGATCACACCGCCAGGGGGATGCTGCAACAGTCGTAAGCGTGAAAACTGGCCATAAGTCCCTTCTTCCAGTGCTGTTTTGAACAGTCACTAAACAAGTGATCGTAAGTTGAGGACTATTTGTATGTGATTAGCCCAGCTTTTTCCTTAGGAATACTTACAACAGTAGCAGTAAAAGTGTCTTTTTAGTTGACAGATAGTTTGTTTAGTGACCGTTCAAAGTTACAGCAACACTGGAAAAAGTGACTTACAGTATGACCGTTTTTCACACTTACAACCCTTGCAGCATCCCCATGGTCATGTGATCAAAATTCAGGTGCTTGGCAACTGACTCATATTTATGACGGTTGCAAGAGTCCCGGGGTTCTGTGATCCCCTTTTGCGACCTTCTGACAAGCTAAGTCAATGGGGGAATCCAGATTCACTTAACAACCATGTTGCTAACTTAACCACTGCAGGGATTCACTTAACAACTGTGTCAAAAATGGTCATAAAACGGGGAAAAACACACTTAAACTGTCTCGCTCAGCAAAGGAAATTGGGGGCTCAATTGTGGTCGTAGACTTGAGGATCTGTGTGTAGTAAAAGTTTATTGGCCTGTCTGACTTTTTCTTAATTTGGTCTACCTTGGAGGGTTGTCAGTAACCCTGGAACAGACAGCCTCAATCCCTGGACCTTTTAAAGCAACAGTTGGACAGCCATTTGCCTGGAATAGTCTGAGGATTCCTTCTCTTGTCAAGGGTTGAACTAGAAGACCTCCAGGGTCCTTTCCAACCCTGTGTTTAAATAAATCTAGTCTTTTTTTTTTCTTTTCCCAGAGGGGCTATTAATACCTCAGAGTAATAGAATATGTTTGATTGTTAAAACTTCGAGTATTGTCCTTTTTAGAAACCATATTTTGAAAATCAGCTTCCCTTTCTCTTTCTCCTGAAATCCTTATCAGCTTCAAGGTTGGTTGACCCTTTCCTGTTATTGGGTGTTCTTGTATTTCTTCATTGTGGCTGGTTAATTTACTGCAATAAGTAAATAAAAATGCTTAGAATACAGTAGAAAAGACACCCAGTGGTTATACCAAATACAGGCCAAGGATGAAATGGCAATGGATGCTTTTTTGAGGCTGGGTGTGCTTGTAACTTTGGGTTTGGGGTCCTTGGTTCTCTCTGAGCTTAGTTGTTTTCTTGCAGACCCAACCAGCACTGATGATGTTATCCAGTTGGGTTATGAAATGTCTGCAAGAAAACAACTAAGCCCTTCCACCTCCTCCACCACCACCTCCTTCTCTCCACAAACTCCACTTCCTTCTACAACTGATGATATTACTTAGTTGGTTCATGAAACTTCTGTAAGATGACAATGGACCTCAGTCCTCTTCCTCTTCTTCATCCTCCTACCAATGATGGTAACTCTCTGCGAGAAGAAAACAGAGAGCACCAAGGACCTCACAATTCAACCCTGAGTTAAAAATATTCTCTTCTGTTAGTAACTTCGGGGTCTCCTGCCTGTCTCGTCCTTTTAGCATGGGACATCTCTGTTGGGGTTCTCCATGTCCTGTATAGCTCCATTTCTTTGTTTTAAGGCTGGCTCTACCACCGTAGAAGTTCTTTTGTGAAGAGACCCCAGGAACGCCTGTAGCAATCATGTCACATTTTTTCAGTGTTTCAAATGACCCATGGGTTAAATAGTGGGCAGATCCTTGTACTAACTCTGTCATAAATATATGATGGTTGCCAAGTGGGCAAATTGTGATCACGTGACCATGGGGACGCCGTAAAGGCAACTGAAGTTTATTTTTTTATTTTTTTTCCTTGAAAAGGTGTCACTTCTCAGCCAAGAAGTTTCCAGTTCTAACACGTGTCAGAACCTCAAGAGTTAGAAGTGAAGAAGCTTCTTGAATGAGAATGGAATGGAATAGCGTAGAAAATATGGAATAAAATAGAATAGAATTGAATTCTTTATTGGCCAAGTGTGATTGGACACACAAGGAATTTGTCTTGGTGCAAATGCTCTCAGTGTACATACAAACAACAAAGTGATATGATCATAAGATACCAATAGAAGTACATAAGAGGAAACATGAAAAGGATAATAGAAACACAGCCCTAATACACAGGTAAATATCCATAAACATAAAGACAGTGCTGTAAGAATTAGGGGTTTAGCAGAGTGATGGCACAAAAAAAATCTGTCTCTGTATCTGGTTGTTTCTGCATGCAGTAGACAATCTGCAATATTGCAATACACAATAAACAAAAGTAGGCAATCTCCACAGACATCCCTTGACTCTCTTCATTGTTCTTATTTCTGCAGTCTGGAGGACTCCAATTCCTTCTCGCAGAGTGTCTGCAGCCCCACCTGCGTTTGCATCCTCGGCTGACAAAATGCTGCACCTGAACGGGATGGTTTCCGGGCTGCTGGACGGCCTGCGGAGCCAGGTGTCCCTCCACCTCGCCTGCTCCAAGTGCAGTCAGAGAGAGAACGAGAGCACCTACCTGCTGAAGCAGGTGGACCATCACTGCATGATGGAAATCTTGCTGGCCAGGTGCAAGGGGGCGAGAGGTAGCCAGTGGCGCAAAGTGGACAGGAGACCCTCTTTCCCCAGACCGGCTTTCTACGACATCTGCCGGTATTACGTGGCTGGCTTGGGCTGCACCAGGCATCACAACTCCTGCACCTTCGCCTGGAGCCGAGAGGAGGTGATCGTGTGGACGTTCGAGAGGAAATACAACTTGGAAAGGCACGTGTTAAAGTCGCTGTTGAAACTGATCCAGTCAGGCGTGGCGCCCAGCACCCAGCGTATACCCACTGATCTCAGCAGCCCGGAAGAAATCCTCAGTGAATTTGGAGGTTATTTCCAGGAAATCTGCAAAACTTGTTTTTATAACCGTCCCCAGCGGATTTCTCCCAGGGGCTCCACTCACAGTTGCATGAATCACTGGGACTTCACTTTGGTCCATGTGATCGCCGATGGTAAGAAAAAAGAGCAATATAATGAGATTCGGCCCTGTCCAGCAAGCCGTAGGGTCTTCTCGTACTGTTCCTCCGTCTCGACCGGCAGACCTTGCCGGAATAGCTGCAGTTTTGCCCACAGCGATGTGGAGCTGGCCATCTGGAAGGCAGAGCAAGGAAAAGGCTTGGAGCGCGCCAACCTGCTGCGTCCGGCGGTGGAGGCGACGGCGAGCCCACCAGACTCCGCGCCACAATATCAATTCTACTGCCGGGTGTGCCTGGTGACGTGCGATTCTCAGCAGAGCTTCGAGAACCACTGCTCGTCGGTGGAGCATACACAGCTGATCGCCACCGACACGCTGACTGAGTGGACTTATCGCGCCCCTCCATACGATCCAAAGACCTTTTCTCTTTGCAAACGGTAAGCAAGACAGTTTCAGAGAGTTTTTGCTTTTGAAAACCAGATGTTGGGTTCAGGATTATCGGTGGCATGAAGAGTTTGCTCCCAGTCCTTTTTGGCTTTATCTGACGGGAAAGCTGATATCTGCACCCGTTGTTTACAGTTAACTTTTTAATGTTGTACGTTGTCAACGTACAACATTCATTTAGTGACTGTTCAAAGTTACAACAGCACTGAAAAAAGTGCCTTAAGTTGTTCACACGACCGTTGCACCATACCTGTGAGCCTTTGATCCAAATTTGGAAGCACTCATTTTTATGACACTTGCCAGGGTCAAGTGTTTACTCTTTAGGACTTTCTGACAAGCAAAGTCAATGGAGAAGCCAGATTGACATGACAATTGTGTTACTAACTTAACAACTGCAGTGATTCATGTAACGACTGCGGCAAGAAAACTCATTGAACAATTGTTCTTGCTTAACCACAGAACTTTTGGGCTCAGTTATGATCATAAGTCAAGGACTATCTATAGTGCCAATAATAATAAGCACCTTGACTGCAATTCCCAAATATCTGGAGCACCACTTGAACTTCAAATAGTAACTAAGCAATTGGTCATAACGTGGGGACCACTGGAATGACACTGTAGCTTCAACATGAGTCTACGCAGGAAGCATAATTCCTAATCAGTTTCTCCTCAAAACAAGGCATAGATTTGAGAGGTCCTCAGTGCTCTCTGAGCTGGGTTGTTTTCTTGCAGACGTTTCATTACCAAACTAGGTAACATCATCAGTGCTAGTAAGGAGTGGGGTTCTTAAGAGATTTTCTATCCAGTTGTGCAGTTGGTTGGAGGTTTGTACCTGATGTTGATAGGCCTGCAGGCACACTTCCACCAGAGAACATTTCTGCTAGCATGAATGCCTTGGGGCAGTATGCCCTACCTACTAGTATCAAGAAGAGATTGGACTGCTATCTGTCAGAAATGGTGTAGAGCAGGGGTCGCCAACGTTTTGGACTTCAGGCAGGGGTGGGATTCTACCAGTTCACACCTATTCGCTAGAATTGGTTGTTAACATTCTAAGCAGTTCGAAGAACCAGTTGTTAGAAGAAATTACTGGCCTAATCCTGTAAGGAAGGCAGGAAGGAAACATTCTGGTGTTGCTTACAGAAACTGCCTCTCCGTTGACCCTTATTACATTCTTGGCAGGACTAGACTGCCTGTCTCTGGAACTTCTCTGGAGTTTTCTTTCCCTCTTTTGCTGGTACTTTGCTTGTGCGGAATGACCATTCAAAGTTACAATGGCACTGAAAAAAAAGTGACTTATGACCATTTTTCATACTTACGACTGTTGCAGCATCCCCACAGTCATGAGAGGCCAGGAGATGCGTGCCTTGATGTGAGTGATATTGAGTTGGCCACGCCCAGCCAATGACATGACCAAGCCACGCCCACCAACTAAGCCACGTCCACAGAACTGGTTGTTAAAAAATTTGAATCCCACCCTTGACTTCAGGGACCACCAAACTCATAATTTTAAATCCCTCTGACCACCAATATGAATTTTGACTGACGGTGGCTTGCTGACATCGGTGGGAAAGTCGGTCCCATATTCCAGAGCTCCAGGAGTCACAGGACTGGCCCTCTGGTCATCCCGGAGTAGCTGCTCGTCCACCCAGGTGCACCAGCCTGCCATGGATTGGAGGAACTGCCCTGGGATGACCAAAGGGCCAGTCCTGTGACTCCTGCAGCTCTGGAATATGGGACCGACTTTCCCACCAATGTCACCAAGCCACCTGGGGTGGATTTCCCTCCCCCGCCGTTGGTCTTGCCTTCCAGTTCCACCTCGCGTGGCTCTACTCAAGGTAAGGTTTGTGCTCAGCCGAAGGGTGGGGGCCAGCGGGTGGGCGGGCCATTTGTTCCCGCACAGCCTGGAATAATTGCTTTGGGGGGGGTGCTTTGGGGGGGGGACGACATTTCCCTGCAGACCACCAAAATTTTCTCACAGACCACCTGTGGTCCCCGGCCCACCGGTTGGTCTAAAGTCTCCTGCTTGGGCAACGGGTTGGACTAGATGACTTACAAGGTCCCTTCCAACTCTGTTAATCTAAAGGTACAAACCACCAATGAACTGCACCTCTGGATGGAAAATAACCCAAGAAAGTGGGCAAAAAATGATATGGCTCTTGATCACAGATGCACACCTCAGTTTAAACAAATATCTGCATATCAGTTTAGATCAGGGGTGTCAAACGCAAGGCCTGCGGGCCAAATCCGGCTCACAGGATGCTTAGATCTGGCCTGTGGGACTGTCCAGGAAACAGCGAAGGACCGGCCCATGGTGCCTCTGCCAGCGAAAATGAAGCTCGGGAGGGCTGCGTGTGGCCCTCCCAGACTCTTGTTTTCGCTGGCAGAGGGCTACAAAACAAACTAAAAACAAAACAAAACGAGAAATGTTTCCCCTTTTGCATTTGAGCATCCAAGAAGGGACAGGAAAGGAGAAAGGGAAAGAGGAAAGAGAAAGAAGGGAAGATGGGAAGAGAGCAAGGAAGGAACAAAGAAGGAAAGAAGAAGAAAGGAGAATGAAAGAAATGGAAGGAAAGAAAAGGAAGGAAGGAAGGAAGGAAGGAAGGAAGGAAGGAAGGAAGTAGATTATAATGAGAGGGAGGGAGGAGGATCTGAGGGAAGTCCTGCCTTAGGACTTGGTTACCACATGTGCCCCCGACATGAGTGACGTCAAGCTGGCCATGCTCACCCCAGCCACGCATATCCTCCCCCTGCTCCGAGGTCAAACACAACCCTGATGCGGCCCTTAATGAAATCGAGTTTGACACCCCTGGTATAGATTAACTCCAAAGTCAACTTTAGACCAACCATCAAGAAACTGCCAAAGAGCCATCAGCGAACATCCCAGCCAAATAATCTTTAAGACCCCACCACCCACACAACAGGCAAGACACCAGAATATAAACTGACAGCAAGCCCCACTCCTTACTAACACTGATGATGTTACCTAGCTGGGTCATGAAACATCTGCAAAAAAAAACAAACAAGCAAGCTCAGACAGCACCAAGTCAACCCTGAGCTGCAAATATTCTCCTTCATGAGACATAAATTTATCTGTCTCCTTAAATGTACCTCCAAGCCTTATCACTGATCAATTTTTGTCTTTTCTTCTCTATGCTTCAGACCAGACATTTGTGAATATGGGCAGGATTGTGCCAGGGCGCATTCGGTCCAGGAATTGGAAGAGTGGATCCAGCGGGCGAAAATTGCTGAGAGAAAGAAGAAGGTGGCCAAGCAGGACGGTCTCTTAGCTTACCAGGATCGGCTTATCGCCGAGTACCAAACGAGCCACAACGAAGTCTTAATTGTAAGTTGGGGACGCTAAGCTGATATGTGTGTGGTTTGTAGCAGGGAAGCTTGCATTTGTGGTAAGGGAGGGAGCCTTCTAGATATTTTGCTTTTATGCAGCTCAAAAACATAAAAGTCGCGGACTTGCCTTGCTTGTGTAGTTCAGCATTCAGGTATGTTGCTCCTGTCTGTGGAGGTTCAGTCAATATCTTAGAGCAAAGATCTTTCCCCTAGGCAACTGATTGCTTAAGAATTATCTAGAGGAAAGTTTTTCTGACTTGGAAACTTTAAGATAAGTGGACTTCAACTCCTGTTACAGCTTCTTAAAGCATGCAGGTTAAGCATTTCTGGGAGTTGAAATCCACCCATCATAAAGCATACACACTGGGGAATATTGGGAGTTGAAATCTTCCCATTTTAAAGTTGTCAGGGTTGAGAAACCCTGCCCTAAAGCAACACGTAACATGCTAAACACAGCTGCCACATGATCCCATAGAATTATTGCAGGAAGATACTATTTTAACAAAACATGTCTCCTGCGGGATTGGATAGGAATGACAAAAGTTGAAATTCAACATAGCCAAGGATATCCAAAGAGGAGAACCTAGTTTCCTCTGAATTGGCACCAATTCATATGTTTGCTTGCAAAATCACAAAATCAACCTTTCCCCCCAGGGCTTTGAGATACAATTAATCAATCATTTGTTTACAGAGTGAGATGATCAAGACTGCATATTTCTTAGAATAGAATAGAATAGAATAGAATAGAATAGAATAGAATAGAATAGAATAGAATAACAGAGTTGTAAGGACCTTGGAGGTCTTCTAGTCCAACCCCCTGCTTAGGCAGGAAACCCTATACACCATTTCAGACAAATGGTTGTCCAATCTCTTCTTAAAAACCTCCAGTGATGAAGCACCCACAACTTCTGGGGGCAAAGTTGTTCCACTGGTTAATTGTCCCCACTGTCAGGAAATTTCTCCATAGTTCTAAGTTGCTTCTCTCCTTGATTCGTTTCTACCCATTGCTTCTTGTCTTCAGGTTGCTTTCAGGTGCTTTGGAGAATAGGTTGACTTCCTCTTTATTAGTTTGTCTTTATTTATTTATCAGTCTATATTAGTTTGGGAATTTTATGTTCTCTGCAGGATTTATTTTGTCTTGCAAGCTGCAGGTATTGCTCCCCGACTGCAGCAGTATAGCATATAAATAGAATGCATGGACGTGACCTCATTGGGGCTTGCACCGGACACCTGGGGTTGACCGATTTTGCATATCACATTAAACCATGGTTGATTGCATTAGAGTTTACAGGTAGCCCTCAATTTACGACCACAATTGAGCCCAAAATTTATGTTGTTAAGTGAAAAATTTGTTAAATGAGTTTTGCCCCATTTTTATGACCTTTCTTGCCACAGTTGTTAAGTGAATCACTGCAGTTGTTAAGTTAATAACACGGTTGTTAAGCGAATCTGGTCTCCCTACTATCTTTGGCTCGTCAGATGGACAAAAAAGGGATTGCGTGACCCTGAGACATTGCGACCGTCATAAATATGAGCCAGTTGCCAAGCACCTGAATTTTGATCACATGATTGTGAGGATGCTGCAGCGGTCATAAGTGTGAACAATGATCATAAGTCACTTTTTTTCAGTGATGTTATAGCTTCAAATGGTCACTAAGAGAACTGTTGTAAGTCGAGGATTAGCTGAATTGAATTCATCTCTCTCTCTCACTTGACAAGGAATGATTTCACAGAACACATTTACGTTTTGGACTTAGCAACCGTTTGAAGTTATAAAAACATTACTTACAATGAATCCTCTCCCTTATGACTGTCACAGCATCCTCATGGTCATGTGATCAAAATTTGAGCACATGTATTTATGTACACGAACGTTTATGTATTTAACCGTCATATATTTATGACGGTTGTAGTGTCCCAGGATTAGGCGATCATCTTTTGTGATCTTCCCGGTTGAGTTCTGACAAAGGCAATGGGACAGCCGGATTCACTTAACAACCATCTGGTTCACTTAACAGCTGCAGCGGTTCTCTTAACAACAGTGGCAAGCAAGGCTGTAAAATTGGGCACGGCTCACTTAACTATCGCCCTTTTTAGGAATAGAGGCTCTGGTCCCAGGTTTGGTTGTAAGCCGAGGACTACCTGTTAAAGTATAGAATGATGTTTTACAGGATGAGAACCAAAGGCTGCCGTCAGACAAAAGCTACAAATTCAGATTAAACACTGGTAAAATTGAAATTTGAGCACCGCCCTCCAATGTTGCAATAGTAAACAGCACTTAGACTTACATTCCACTTCCCCGTGCTTTTACAGCCCTCTCTAAGTGGTTTACAGAGTCGGCCTGTTGTTCCCAACAAGCTGAGTCCTCAATTGACCCAACTCGGAAGGAGGGAAGGCTGAGTCAACCTTGAGCTGGTCAGATTGAACTTTCTGGCTGTGGGCAGAGTTTGCTTGCGCCATCATGGCTTAGCTGTGGATTAGAACTCAGTGCAATGTCACGGTTGAGAACCGAGGCAGCTCAGGGACAAAATAAAACACGGTGAAACAAAGGGGAACAAACCCATCAGGGCTACATTCAGCAGTCCATCTGCGTTTGAAAGACACAGGCCATTCTTTTGAAGACAGAAAAGCCCACATTTTAGACAGAGAGGACTGCTGGTTTGAAAGAGGGGGGGTCAAAGAGGTCATCTGTCTCCAAATTGAACAGCCCTCTCTCAACAGAGGGGGAGGGATATGACACCATCTATTTCCAGTCTACAACACAGTCCTTTCAGCAGTTCCACACTCATTTGCACCACTCATATGACCCTGAGGACACAGATAAAACCACCAGGTGGCCTCAGTGACTAGCCAAAAGAATGCAAATGACCAGCTGTCTGCAAGGAATATAAATCCTTCCCCACCGTCCGGTCAGAGCTGAAGAAGCTTCTTGGATGAGAAGCGAAACGTCTTCATAGAAAATCCAGAAAGTCCAGTTGCCTCTTGAAAAAACATCTTTCGAATAAAACATGATCCCTTCCTCGGTTCTCCCGCCTTGTTTTCTCATCGTGGTTCTCCCCATCAGATTTCGGAGGCCGTGGATGGCGTGAGGGTCACGTGCAAGCAGCCACTCCGGATCCACTCAGAGAACAAGAAGTTGCAATACGAGTGGGTCTTCACCATCCATTCCCAGGTGAGCTGGAAAGGCGAAATGCCCCATAAACCCGTAGAGAAGGGACCTGTTTCTCCTTTGATGGGGCTCCTGGACTCTGCACGGCTACATTGCCTGCAGTAGAGAGCCTGACTAATGTCCTTGCTGGGCACATACGCATGGCGAGTTCTGTCTCCATCCATGATTTGCTGGATGCACAGAGGTTGGCCGGGCGTGCACAGAGTGGTTAATCACAAACTAGCATTTGAAGGAGGGAGGATAGATGGAAGGAAAGAGATGGAAAGAAGGAATGAGAGAGAGGAAGAGGAGAGGAAGGGAGGGAGGAGAGATGGAAAGAAGGAATGAGAGAGAGGAAGGAAGGAAGGAAGGAAGGAAGGAAGGATAGGAAGGAAAACCCACCTATCTTTGAAGATTTGGAAGGAATCTTTGAGGTCACCCTATGTGCCATTCCTTCCTCCCTCCCTCCCCCCTCAAAACTCTGCAGCGTTTCCCTTCGCCCACTCTTATATCAGGCAGAAATAAGGTGGGGTTATCTTGAGTTTCTTCCTCGCCTCCTTTTCCTTCCCAGGGCTGAGTAAAAAGTTACCTAGCTGTTCTTCCATTTCCATGTTCAAGTTTACCTCTGACGCCGAGGATCTATTTTCCCTTGTTCTCATTTACCTACATTTTCCCCCACTCCCATTTCAGATGCCACTGATCCACGTGGCCCTATTAAAGAGAATCCCAGGAGCCAACTTCTCCTTAGCCGTGCCGGGAAAGACTCAGCTTCTGACTTACGCTTCCGGAAACAGCTTCAAAACTGTGCGGGCGTCACCACCAGCTGTTGAGGTGAAAGTCCGCTTGAAGAGTCACATCTTTGGGGTCTACGAGCAATGGCTGGTCTTTGATTTTGGCAGCCGGCCTGTCTTGGTTCAAAAGCTCTACGCCCGGGTGGGTCCGAAGGAAGCACCATGGCGGGTGGATCCGGCTGCTGAATCCGTGAGCTGCTTTGTGCAGGGTAGGCGCTGGCACACTGGGAACTGCATAGTGGTGCCCAGCGTGGATCGCACGGGCAAGGATGTGGAACTGCTGGCTAAGTACAAGGCCCCCTCCCTCTCAATGGACTTCCAGCGAGGGGCAAGGGGCAAGCCCATCACCCGCGTCAACTACCATGAAGAAATGCACAACTTCCTCTTCCAAGAAGAAGAAGCTCAGCAGCTTTTGATCTCTAAGTAAGTGGATCTCAACCCAAACAAGATTGGTGGGATAATGTTAACTTCAGAGTCTTCAGCCAAATTCCCTGTTTTTATCTCGGGGAGGAAGAACCAAATTCGAGCAATATCAATAGCAATAAAGGAGGATATTTGCAATGTTTGTAATATAGCAATAGCACTTAGGCTTATATGCTGCTCCACAGTGCTTTACAGCCCTCTCTGCGTGGTTTCCAGAGTCAGCCTATGGCCCCCTACAATCTGGCTCCTCATTTTACCGACCTAGAAAGGATGAAAGGCTGAGTCAACCTTGAGCCGGTGAGAATTAAACTCCTGGCAGCGGGCAGAGTTAGCCTGAAATACTGCATTCTATCCACTGTGCCACCAGAGCTCTAACAGAAGTGAATGCTTAAAGTTCCTTTAATGTGCTTAAAGATGTGAAGACTACAGGTCCCAGAATTGCTAGGTGGGGAACCCACCGTCTCCTGGTGATTGGCCCAAATCACCAGCTGGTTTTCATGCTTAAGGTGGAACTAGAACTCACAGTCTCCTGGTGGTTGGTCCAAAGTCACTTAGTCAGCTTTCATGCCTGAGGTGGGACTGGAACTCACCGTCTCCTAATGATTGTCAGCCAGCTTTCATGCCTAAGGCAGGCTTAGAACTCATGCGTAAAGTGAGACTAGAACTCACTGCCTCCTGGTTTCTAATCCAGTGCCTTCACCACTAACATAAACTGGCTCTCTTTTTGGAGAGACACAAACCTTCCACAACAACCTTCTTTCTATCTCTTGAGGGTTTACATTAACTTCCCCTTGGCCAGCTTCCTGAAAATGTCTTGCAGACATGTAAGTTGGGGATAATGGGAACTATGTTCAAATATTTCCAGAAGGGATGGCAACAGGCCAAAGAGAATGAAGCATCTAAGACCTAGAATTCCCGTTCATTTGGGATGTGCAGTCCAAAATAATTTGGCTTGGAGGGTGAGAACGTTACAGAGAGATACAGGCAGAGAGGCCTGTTGTTCCTGTTGTTTTGTCTTCTCTCTTCCTCAGTTTCTTCTGCTTCTCTTCCCATGTCTAATCTTCTTCTGATCTAGGCTCAACTTGCACGCGAAGGTCTCTTTTGTAAAGTGTGTGGAAGACTTACAATTAGGGATGAAGTTTGCTCCCCCAGGACAGCTCTATGCCCAGGTCCCGACCCCTTACTCGTTGACCATGGACTCCAACGAAGGGTACCTGCTTCAACGCTCAGTCAGAACAGCCTTCCTGGCCCGGGATCCACCTGCCAACAACCGTGTTTACGAGGTCTCCGTCGAGAAAGAAGCTCTCACCGAAAAGAGTGTCTGTCTTGTCCTTCCCCAACGTTCCTGCATTGAACTGGGCCTCCAACCGGACACGTCTGCCAAAATGGAAGTCCAGTTCCAAACGGACCACCTCCAATTCTGCAAATGGCACCACGCCGTGGACAGCTTGTGGGATGTGAAGCTGGTCTTTCCAGATGTGACCACCTGCTCCATCCCACGTGGAACTTTGCAGGTGCCATGGGGGAACATGAAGCAGAAGCAAGCTCTTTGCTTCATCACTGGTCAGGTGACTGGTTTCTGTAGAACACCACCTCTTTTGATCTACGGACCATTTGGGACTGGAAAGACCTTCACGTTGGCCAAGACTACCCTGGAGATCATCAAGAAGCCCCAGACACGTGTGCTTATCTGCACCCACACCAACAGGTAATCTTGGTTTGACGTTTTATCAGCCTTTGGCTGAAGGAGAGAAGTAAATATTTCGGTGTCTTCACAGGGTTATTTTAGAGACCCCTGTTAAAATGGATAGCTGGGTTTGCACAATATGTGAACCAGATCCAGGTAAGTCCAGGAGGCTAAACTCACATTAGTGTCAGATGCAAGATATCAAGAACCAGGATATAGTTCAAAAATACTACAAGTTTTGGTCACCACAATATTAAAAGAAATGTTGAGATTCTAGAAAGGGTACAGAAGAGCAACAAAGATGATTAGGGGATTGGAGGCTAAAACATAAAGAACGGTTGCTGGAATTGGGTATGTCTAATTTAATGAAAAGAAGGACTAGGGGTGACATGATAGCAGTGTTCCAATATCTCAGGGGCTGCCACAAAAGAAGAAGAGGGAGCCAAGCTATTCTACAAAGCCCCTGAAGGCAGGTCAAGAAGTAATGGGTGGAAACTAGTCAAGCAGAGAAGCAACTTAGAACTAAAGAATTTCCTGACGCTGAGAACAATTAATCAGTGGAATTGCTTGCCTCCAAAGTTGTGGGTGCTACAACACTGGAGGTTTTAAGAAGCACTTTTTCTGAATTGGTACTGGGTTTCCTTCTTGAACAGGGTGTTGGACTAGAAAGCCTCTAAGATCCCAACTGTGTTATTTTGTTATTTGATACTACCTACGCACAAGAACCTGTGCTACTAACGATCAAGGCAAATTGGCACCAGATAATATCAATGGACTTCGAAGAGGGCTGGATTTAAGTCTCTTAAAGGTGTGTAGAGACTTCAGACTGATGATGCATTTGACCCCACTGCTGGGCTCAGTCTGGTCATGTGCCACCATTAGCTTGTTTGCAAGATTTTAGTGCTTCGTGTAAATCTAGTACATTGATGCTCAATGTTAAGCACATGGCTAATCTGAAGTGGTTTTTCTCAACCTCGGCAACTTTTAAGATGTCTGAACTTAGACCCCAGCTGGCTGGAGAATTCTGGGAGTTGAAGTCCAGACATCTTAAAACGATCAAGGATGATCAAGGAGAAATACTGATCTAGACTATTGTGCAAAAGTAGTCTTTGCAACTTTTTAACCTCAAAATGTCAACATTCCCCTGTAGTCTTTCTAGGCAAGCAATAATAATTGGGGTGGGGCGGGGAAGAGGATTTATTTATTGAGTTTATTAGCTGCCCCATTCCAGAAGATTCTGGGTAGTTTTATAAAATTAAAACCACAGTATGGTAGGAAATATAAATGGTCCTTAGGTTACATCCGTTTGTTCTGTGACTGTTCAAAGTTATGATGGTTCTGAATGAGGGAAACTTAACAACTGGTCCTCGGATGTTATTGATGTCACATTGGCCCTGAAGACATGTGATCACCATTTGCAATCCTGCTGGCTTCCCACGAGCAAAAACAATGGGAAAGCCAGCAGGAAATCACAAGTTGCTCTCATAAGTTGCCGCCGCCACTTTTTCTCCCAAAGAGCTTCTTGGTTTCAGTGGAATCTCATACTTTGTAACACCCACTTGAAGTTCTTGCCTGTTGGCTGACTGGCTTGCAAGTCAATTAAGGAGGGGAGTCTTATGATCATGACTTGCGGTTTCCTGCTGGCTTCCCCAATGTCTTTACTTGTGGGAAGCCAGCAGGAAGTGGTCATGTGAGGTCCTCGCTTAATAATCAGTGATCCTTGCATAACGATGGCAACAGAGACTGCCAGGATTGCCAGCATGAAATAGTGTTGTCACGTGACATATTGCATTATGGCTGTATCACTTAGTGATGGAAATTATGGTGCCAATTTACCATGGTACTCTGAAGACTATCTATAACAGTGGCCCCCAACCTTTTTTGTGCCGCGGCCCGGTACCGGCATCACAAAATCATCCGCGGCCCGGTAGTGGCATCAGCACGCATGGCAAGGCGAGCCGAGCGACCGGCCAGCCAGCCGTCCCCCGCTTCTCCCCGCCACCTTCAACTCCTCCTTTGTACCTGTGTCGATGGGCTTCGGGATGGCTTCGGGACGGTTGCTTGGCTCGCCTTGCCATGCGTGCTGAAAGAATCCTCGCGCCTTAGTTTTGTTTGAAGCCGCCCCCCCCGCCCCCCGGTGAAACTAAGGCGTGAGGATTCTTTCAGCACCCAAATGCCGCTTTCTACCCGGAAAAGCTCACCGGAAGCACTTTTTCATCAAAACAAGATGGCGGCGCCCAGCAAACCGGCGGCCCGGTAGAAATTGTTCCACAGGCCAGTCCCGGTCCGGGGACCGGTGGTTGGGGACCCCTGATCTATAATACAAACAGATTTGGGTTGAAAAAGACCAGTTGTAGAGAAAGAAATTTGCCAGAACAGCAGTTTTTATTACCTAACTTCAGTTTTAGCTGTCTTGAGCTAAAATGATGGCAACCAAGATTGGATCAGAGGTGGTATTCAGCAGGTTCTGACCAGTTCTGGAGAGCCAGAAGCGGAAATTTTGAGTAGTTCGGAGAATCGGCAAATCCCACCTCTGACTGGAGATTTTATAGTGTTCTTCCCCTGCCACGCCCACCAAGCCACACCCACAGAACTGGTAGTAAAAAAAATTGAATCCTACCACTGGATTGGATCCCCCATTTTCACTTTCAACTCAGGAAAAGAAAGGATGGGGGTTCAGTTGGACAACTGGGGCTGCCGTTTTAACTCATTTTGAGTTAAAAATCCCCCTTCTTCCCTAGAGGGAAATAAAAAACAACCATGTGCCTATTTAGCAAAGAATTTTGGGGAGATAATTGGAAGTGTGATAGCCCCTGTTGCAATGCCTTTCTTTTCCAGCGCGGCTGATATCTACATTCGTGAATATTTCCACAACTATGCCATCTCATCGCACCCTGAGGCTATTCCATTAAGGGTGAAATCCACTTTCCGTTCGGTCAGATCAACTGACCCCATTACCCTACGCTACTGCTGTCTCTCTCCGCGTGGAAATGAGTTTTGCCTCCCTACTAGAGAACAGATGGATCGCCACCGGATTGTCCTCACCACCTGCATGACCTCACGAGATCTTGGAGTGCCCTGTGGTTATTTCACTCACATCTTGATTGATGAAGCTGCCCAGATGTTGGAGTGTGAAGCTCTAGTCCCTCTCTCTCTGGCTAGCCTGACAACCTTGATTGTTCTGGCAGGGGACCATATGCAGAAGACCCCCAGGCTCTACTCGTTGCACAAGGATGAGCAGTCCGCCGACTACACCCTGTTGAATCGCCTCTTCCAACATTACAAGAAGGAGAAGCATGAAGTGGCCACCAAGAGCAGGATCATCTTCAATGAGAACTATCGGTCTACTGCAGGAATAATTGAGTTTGTCTCCAAGCACTTCTATGTGGGTAGAGAAGATACCATCGGTGCCAAAGGCAACGTCCCTCCTCACCCGGAGTTCTATCCGCTTATGTTTTGTCACGTCTCTGGTAGTGCCGAGAAGGACAGATCCATGAGCTGGTACAACATCTCCGAGATTGAACAGATCATTGAGGAAGTGCAGGAAATGGATCAGAAATGGCCGGTTGAATGGGGGCAGAAGAACCTCAAGTCCATCTGCGTGGTCTCTTATGGCATACAGGTGAGGCGTCAAGGACATGTGTTGTTCTTACATTGTCCATGACGGGCAATCTTCAACTTAGGACCACAATTGACCCAACATTTCTGTTGCTAACTGCTCTTTCTCCTGCTAACGTTCTCCTGAAACTGGTATTTTTGGGGAGATACTGCATCTGGCCCAGAGATCACACAGAAACTTCAAATAGCCAAGGGTAATCCTGTCCTTTAGGAATTTCTTGAGTCCCTTTTGATATATAGGGTTTCCTACCTGACCCGGGAGTTGGACTAGAACACCTCCAAGCCCCCTTCCAACTGTGTTATTCTACTATTCCGACTCTTTTTAGCATAGTATAAGGTAACAATATTACAACCTCAACATTTTTACTTTTGTACATTAGTATATAACTAGCCATTTCTATAACAACTAATCTAGCTAATCAGCCAAACCAAAGTCAGTTTCCTTTTTTTTCATTCTCCTCTTTGAAGAATTAATGTAACCGTTACTGCTTTATCTTCCTTGCTGTTGAAATAATACGTACTTCTATTTACACTTAATAATCTTTATAAACTATCACCATTTATATTAACAAAATTCGCCATATTCTTTCAGCTTCTTTAACTTTAAAGGGAAAATATGTTTTCATCCATTTTAAAAAACTAAGCTTTTCTTTAAAAACATTTTTAAAATTAAAACATTCTAATACATCTTTTTAAAACGTTCTCTTAGCATACATACTTTAAAGTTCACTTTCAGACCAATAAAATTCTAACTAACTCCAATTCATTCGTTAAAGTTTGATCACTCCCTCCAATGAGGGTAACCTCATAGAATAATTATTTTTCCTCTTTTATACATCCTTTTTAAAGCTTTTTAATTTTTCTTTAGGCTAATACATCTTTTTTCTTTAAATTTCTCTTTAAAATAGATATTTTCAAATACACTTTCAATAATATTTTACAAACTTTAAGAATTGCTTAAACATTATATATAAAGGAAAATACATTTTCAAATGGTTTTAGATTAAAACTTTCTTTCAATTACAAATATGAAACTGATGGAAATTCATCCTAATTCCAATTGACTCATTAAGTTTAAGTCACTCCTTCCAGCTCCTCTTCATGGAATAAAATCTTTTTCTTCTCTGGAATGCTTGTCAAATAGTTTATAAACTTCTCTTTTTCTCAAGGATTTCTTAACCTTGTTAATATCCGTGAGGAAAAAGCTTTTAAAAGTTGCAAATTTTCTTGGTGCTCTTCATTCAATTGTATTGAGAGATTTCTATTTAAATCATCAAAATGAAAATTGATCTCATAATTTTGATTCCGAAATTATGATTGACATGCTGGTATCTTTGATTTTTCTAGGTGAAATTTATCCGAGACAAGCTGAGAAAAAGCGGCTTTTCAGAAGTGACTGTGGAGAGCTATGACAACCTAGCAGGTAAGGTCCCTGCCCTTTAGAACATGGGTTCTCAACTCTCAGGCCCACAACTGGGCCATCCCCTGTTCAGAACCAGGTTGCTGAAGCAGTGGGTGAGGGCGTGGCCGTGTGTAGCTCCACTTAAGTGTGTCACGGGCAGGTGAACGCACACAGGCAGCTCCATTTGTGCAAATGTAACTGCACATGCTTATTCAACGTGCGCATGGAACCATCCCCTCCCCGCCAGGTGTCTGAATTTTTATCACGTGGCCATGGGGATGCTGCAGTGGTCATAAGTGAAAAACAGTCACATTTTTCAGTACCAAATGGTCACTAAATGAATGGTTGTAAGTCGAGGATAGCCTGTATTTCATGATATTGATGAATAAATCCACTTTCTGTTTTTTTTCTGCAGGGCGAGAATTCCGTGTCATCATTATCAACACTGTGCATACCTGCAACAGCCTGGTCCATGTCAGTTCCTCTAATCTGGAGTATTTCAACAATGCGCGGGTGTTGAACACCATCATAACAAGGGCCCAGTCGCAGGTCATCGTAGTCGGAGACGCCGTCGCTCTGTGTTCTCATGGCCAGTGCAGCAAGATCTGGAAAAGTTTCATCAAGAAGTGCATTGAGAAGAAGTCCATTACTCCTGAAACGCTGACCTTGGAGGAGATAAAGCAGGTGACGTCCGATTTGGCCGCCTGGAACAGAGAAAGCCCCGAATCCGAGGAAGAAGGTAGCAATACAGACTCTTGGGACTCCGACACGGAAAGTTTAAACCTTGATGATCCAATATTGCAGGAACTCTTGGATGAAAGCAAAGAGTTGATGGTGTTGGTAACTGAAGAAGGCCTGTTGAAGGTGAAATCGGACGTCTCAGTCCCTGAACGGAGAAGGCAACAGTACAGCAACTATTCCTTGCAAACGATGCAGCAGTATTTGCAGATGCAGCCCCAGCGATACAAACGTTGCGAATTCATCCAAGAACGGTTTGATCAAGCTTCTGCCTTCACTCTGGATGAGGCTTCCTTGATGATCATCCAGATCAAGGGTCGAGTCAACTGTGGCATGGCCTTCACTGGAGACCAGGTCTTGGTGGAGATCCTGACGCCCAAAGTTACTCCTGAGGACAACCCTCATGGGAAAGTGGTGGGCATCTTAAAAAAGGTGGCACGAGATCTCACCTTTGTCTGCAAAGTGGATGAGTTTGATCTCCGGGTCATGATCCCCATTGACCAGACTGTCACAAAAATTTTTGTCCCTCCATTGAGAGACGAGGCTGACTCTATTCCCATCCGCAGACTTGACCAGGCAGGAAAAATTAAGTTGAAGAGCAGGAAAAAAATAACACCAGAAAACCGGAACACATGCCTTTTCGTGGTACGAATCATGAAATGGGAAGAAGGTTATTACTACCCTCTAGGAATTGTTACAGAGGTCCTTCCCTTGGCTTCCTCACTAGATGATGGGCTTCGTATTCTGGATTTGGAATATAGATTGTCCAGTGGATATCCTGCCTCAGTGGACAGCCAAGTGGCCAAATTAATCTCTGGTTACCCCACTCTGATGAGAGCAGAGAGGAAAGACTGTCGGGCTTACTTTACTTTCACGGTTGACCCCTTGGGTGCCAAAGACCTGGACGATGCCATCAGTGTCCGAGATATGGGTGCCAAATATGAGATTGGGATCCACATTGCTGACTTGGCCTCTGTGATCCACAAAGATTGTCCTTTGGATACAGAAGCCAAGAACCGAGGGTTAAGTTATTATGCTCCTGAGAAGCCTATACATATGTTCCCACCACAGCTCAGTCAGAATCTCTGCAGTCTCCTTCCTCACAAGGAACGATTGGTGATTTCTCTCTTTGTCGTAATGGATAAGGCCACGGACCAGATGGAAAAAATTTCCTTTGCCATGTCCATTATCTGTTCTAATCGGCAGATGACTTATGAGGAAGCTGAAGGGATCATTAAGAACCACTACAAAATAGAGGCACCATCACCTAATTTTGACACCTTAGAAGATTATGTTGCGACGGCGTATCATTTCTCCCGTGTCCACCGGAAGTCCAGGCTTCACGAAGACTGTCATTATGACCAATTGGATGAAGAAATTCCTTTAGGTCAGCGATGTTCTCACCAGATGATTGAGGAGCTTATGATCCTCTTCAACAGTTCTGTGGGAGATCTGCTCACAAACCGGACTCCTACCAGAAATTTAACCCCGCTTCGTTGTCAGGTGGAGCCCAACCCTCAACAAATCTCCCAAATGAGGGAGAAATACAAAGATGTCATTCCTCTGTCCACCCACCTCTCCCATCACCTAGGAGCTCCAACTGGTGATGCCCTCGTGAAGACTATGCATCCATTTGTTCTCTTGGCTTCCTCGTGGGATCATCTCAAGTCAGCGGCCAATGACCGTGACTTTCCCAAGATGCTTGACCTCATTACCACAGATGACATCCACCCTAAACTTGCGCCCATCAATTTAGAATTTCGGAAGCTCTTGAACCGTTCTTATTTTCTTCGTTCTAATTCCTGTCCTCAGGCCAAGCTGGGCCACTACTCTTTGCATGTGGACTCATACACCTGGGCTACCTCTCCGGTTCGGCGCTACGTGGATGTAGTCGTTCAACGGCATATTGTCTCTCTGATTTCCAAGAAACCCATCCAGTACTCCGAAGTAGAAATTGAATTCCTCTGCCATGATTTCAACCAGAAGAATGGCAGGGCCAAGATGTACCAGCGAAGAATCCGATCGTTGGAACTGGCCACCCAGTTGAAATGTCACGTTCAAAAGAAGTTTGCTTTCATTGCCAACGTGGAAGGGAAAGCCCAACATTTCAAACTCTTGTTTCCTCTCAACAATGAGACCTTTCCAGATAGTCCCAGCATCAGTTATAGAGCCCTTCAGTTGGTGTCCCAACCAAATTTCAATGAGGAGCGGAACAGTATGAAGCTGACGTGGAGAAGAAGAATTTACTCCTGTGTAACCAAAAAGGAGGATGAAGTGAAGTTGTCAGAGATCGGAGGGAACATCTTTCACTTCGATGGAGATGTGTGGCATGAAATCCTTGCAGCTGTCAAAAATGAAGACTACGAGAAGTTAATCCACCTTCTTAAGAAGAGTTACACCCTGAAATCCAAACCTGTGGGGTCAGTGGGGAGGAGTAAGTGCTTACACTACAAAGAACTGTCCGTGGAACTTAAAGTTGGAGATGTGCTGAATTTCCAACTGACCACCGATGTCCAACGAGGCTTCCTGGTGCCGTTTGTGCAACTGTGGACAGTAGCTCCTGGCTTTGAGGTGTGCTTGGAACACACTGAGCGACCCATCAATTGCTTCTCCAAGTACACTTCCCAAGCCTCGAAGAACATTTATAAGAACGCCTCTGATTATCGCAAAGTGTGGCTGCCTCTTTGTGACATAGAAGCAACTTTGGGCGCGTTGGCTGAAAACAGCTCGATCGTCTTGCAAGACGTCCAGATCGTTTGGAAGAGGCAGCGGACCTCACAAGGTCAGCTCTGTGGAACCATCAACCTCACCAAGAAGTTCCTCAAAGAATGTGGCATTGAAGTGGATCTTGGCGCCTGCTACATATGCATTCGCCTTTCGGGCCTCCGAGGACCTGGGATTCAGGACAAAGAGGAAGACCTCAGTCAGAGCTTCCGGCAACTCCGTTTGACCAAGGAAGCAACCAAGACTCAGGATTTCATGATTGATCCCGATACGTACACTTGGGTGGCGCATGGATGTGCAGATAAGTTTGAGGAGAATGAAAAACCTGATCAGCGGGGTGACGTGGTGGTGAATTTCTACATCAATTTTATGTCCATGGAGAACATTCCCTTTGAGGTCACCCAGAAGAGTTCAAGGTTCAGTGTAGAGCTGATTCCGAAGCAGCTGCCTGATATGTAAGTTTGCCGACAGAAGAGAATATTTGTAGCTCGGGTTTGAACTGTGGGGTCATTGCTGCTTTTTGAGTTTGGCAGTTTTCTTACCTGACTAGGTAATATCATCAGTACTAAATGGAGTGGGTTTTGCTGCCTTTATACATAGGACAGCCTGACAGGGCAAGCTATATAAACAGCAAACCCCACTCTTTTCCAGCACTGATGTTACCTAGTTGGATCATGAAACACCTACAAGAAAACAAATCAAGTTAAAGGATCCCACAGTCCTCCTCCTGCTCCCATTCCCCTCCTCTTCCTCCTTTCTGCAAACTCTCCCTTCTAGCACTGATGTTATTACCTACCTTGGTAATGAAAAGTCTGCAAGAAAACAAGAAAGAGAGCACTAAGGACCCCACAGTCCTCCTCCTCTTCTTCCTCCTCCTCCTCTTTCTCCACCTTCTGCCACCTTTGCTTCCACTCCATAAACCACATTCCCTTCTACTGGTAGTTCTGATAATGTTACCTAGTTTGGTAAATGAAACATCTGTAGGAAAACAATCAAACTCAATTGCACCAAGGACCCCCACAAGTGTAAGTCTGCATTGCATCAAAGCGTTTGGGTTCTGGTTTTGCCCTTTCTTTTTCCTCGACTTATTTTTTTCATAACTGATCCCAGCAAAAGGGTGATTTGGTGGTTTCACTAATCATGAATATGTCAACCTAAAACAAATATGGACAATTCAACAGCAAGAATGTTTGGAAACCTTGCTGAGGTTGTTGTTTTTTACCCCCTTGTTTGTTTGGTGTTTCTTTCTTCTTCACTTACTTATTTTTTCTTTTTCTTCACAGCCGGAAAGAGGCAGCTGTTTGGAAACTGGAGTATGCCTCGGAACTTTCTCAGAGCATAGCGCTGGGTCGACCCATTCCAGTCCAAAGTAAGTACCGGATAGTCTTCAACTTAAAACCACAACTGAGCCCCAAATTCCCATTGTTAAGCAAGGCAGTTTTTAAAATTCAGTTAAATTCAGTTTGGCCCCATTTTGTGTGCTTTATTTTTTTGCCACAGTTGCTAAGTGAATCATGCAGTTGTTAAGTGAACCATTCAGTCATTAAGCAAATCTTGCTTCCATTGATTTTGCTTGTCGGAAGCCAGCTGGAAAGTTTACAAATGAGGATTACATGAGCCTGGGACAGTATAACTGTCATAAGTACATGCCAGTTGCCAAGTGTCTGAATGTTAATCATGTGACCATGTCGATGCTGCAGTGGTTCCACTGTAAGTGTGAAAAACAGTCATCAGTCCCTTTTTTCAGTGCCATTGTAACTTCGAATGGTTACTAATGATTATGTCAAAGATTGTAAGTCACCTGTGGAACAAAATTGCATAGCCTAGCTGTGAAAATAGTACAAGTAGGGCTGATTAGCAACCATTTGAAGTTATGATTGACCTCCACCCCCACAAAAAAAGTTATTTACCACTCAGTTCTGAAGTTCTGATGCCACCCCTTCCTCCTGGTGGTCACATGACCGAATGCTGGGCTGTCAGCAACTGGCCCTCATATCACCTGGGAGTAGGACAAGAAGCAATGGGTGGAAACTCATCAAGGAGAGAAGCAACCTAGAACTAAGGAGAAATTTCCTGACAGTGGGGACAATTAACCGGTGGAACAACTTGCCTCCAGAAGTTGTGAGGGCTCCAACACTGGAAGCTTTTAAAAAGATGTTGGATAACCATTTGTGTGATGTGGTGTAGGGTTTCCTACCTAAGCAGGGGGTTGGACTAGAAGACCTCCAAGGTCCCTTCCAACTCTGTTATTCTATTCAGTTCTATCCTATCATTTTCAGCATCTTTTAGTCATGCAACTTTCAATTTACTGTTTTTGCAGGAAGCTGCCTTTGCTTGTTGTTTTTGGCAAAAAACACACAAACCCAAAGCAAGTAAAGAGTTTGCTTAGCAACTTAAGCATTTACTTAATGACAACAGTGATTCCCTTAACAATTGCTGCAACCTGGGCTAGCGCTTCCAAATTGGGAATTATATTATTGGGCAGCCAACTTACTATGGTTAAAAGACTGGGTCAATTTACGGAATAAAAGAACTCTAGCCTTGGAAGGGCACGACCTTCAGAGAGGATGGCACGCATTTCTATGGGATGTGGGGAAAACTAAACAGGCGTACTTTCATAGACATCTTATTAGAGATTCACTATTAACTAATTGGAAAAAAATATGTAAAAAACATTATTTAAAAATTCCGATTTGGCTTTCAACAATGGAGGCAATGGTTCATCCCAACAATTTGGATATAACAAAAACGACTAAATATAAAGATTTATTAGATCCTTTAGGAAAACTAAGAACTCGACAGGACTTACAGGAACAGGGATTTAAAATTGATCAGTGGTTATATATACAAATCCATAGTAGATACAAACAAGATATCAAAGAGTTTGGAATTTATAGCAAATTACAACACTTAGATAAAATCTTATTAGGATCAAATAAAAAGAATATCTCTAAATTTTATAAATATTTATTGGAGGTAGAATTAGAGCAAGAGATAGTGAAAGGGAACATGATAATGTGGAGTAGGAATATTGGAAGAAGCATTACATTAACAGAATGGGAAAAGATCTGGAATAGAATCATTAAGATTACGAAATCTGCGGCGTACAAAGAAAATATGTATAAAATGTTATATAGATGGCACTTACCCCCTTCGAGGTTAGCGAAAATGAACCCAAACTCTAGTCCAAAATGTTGGAAATGTAAAAACATAGAGGGAACCTACTTTCATATGTGGTGGACCTGTAAAGAAGCCCAGAAATACTGGCAAAAAATTAGAAAATGGCTGGAGGAGATAACCAAAGATCAAATTGAATACAAACCAGAGTTCTTCCTACTAGGGATCTCTGATAAACATTTTCCTAAAAAGACGAAATACATAATAATTCATATTCTAACTGCGGCCAGATTAGCATTTGCCCAGTGCTGGAAATCATCCCGTTTACCTACAGATCAATTGGTCATTCAGAAAATATGTGACTGCGCAGAAATGGACAATTTAACCATAGCTCTTAAAAATAAAGAGTCTTCAGCATTTGATAATAATTGGAATGCATGGTATAATTGGTTATATCAGAGATAAACTGTTCAATGAGCATAAATAAGCATAAATATCCATAAATAGCGATAAGATGTGTATATTTAAAGTAAGGTAGGAGAATTGGATCTTGTAGACTGTCAAAAAGAATATTTGTCTGGTTTTAACGTATTTTCTTTTTTCTTCCGTCTCTTTGTTTTTTTTTTCCTCTCTCTTTCTCTTCTTTCTTTCTTCTTTTTCTCTCTCTGTTTCTTATGTAATGTTGTTATGTTATTTTTTTAATTGTAAATTCAATAAAATTTATATGAAAAAAAAAAAAACAATTGCTGCAACCTGGGTTGTAAAACACCATCATGTAGCCATATCTGCCTATTCCAGGTCCTTGGGAAGGACTTGATAGGACAAAAAGTGGCTAACACTGATGATGTTATCTAGTTGGGTAATGAAACGTCTGGAAGAAAACAAGCAAGCTCAGACAGCACCAAGGATCCCACAGTCACGTCTTTTCCTCCTCCCCTCCCCCTCCCCCTCCTCCTCCTCCCTCTCCATACATCCCCCTCCCTTCTAGCACTGATGGTGTTACCTAGTTGGGTAATGAAACATCTAAAAGAAAACAAGGAAGTCCAGAGAGCATCAAGAACCCCATAGTCCTCTTCCTCCTCCCTTCTCTTTCTCCTTCTCTCTCCAAATCCCTCTAGCACTGATGATGTTACCTAGTTGGGTAATGAAATGTCTGAAAGAAAACAAGCAAGCTCAGACAGCACCAAGGATCCCACAGTCACGTCTTTCCTCCCCCTCCTCCTCCTCCTCCTCCTCCTCCTCCCCTTCCATACATCCCACTCCCTTCTAGCACTGATGATGCTACCTAGTTGGGTAATGAAACGTCTGCTAGGAAACAAACAAGCTCAGAGAGCACCCAGGACCTCTCAATTCAACCCTGAACTACAAATATTCTCCTTTATTAGACAAAAAGGTTAAAATCCAGGATAAACATCTGGCTGCGTATGTGACAAATGAGCAATAATATAATATACTAAATGTATACGTTACCGGCAATGTATGAAAAGCTGGCATTGTATATAATGCCCAGGAAATCTATAGAACGTGTGACTTTTTAGGCCAAGTGTGAAATGTCTTGCTTTATTTTAATATACTATTATACTTTCCCTAGGCATTGTATATAATACCTAGACTGCCCGGGAATTGGACAGCAGGTGTCCAAGGAGTCAGAGACGCCGGCACAAACTTGTAGTTTTATATAAATTAATACTGTATATTTTACAACGATATACAGTAAACTAGCTGGTCAGGCAAATCATGAGGTAAAAGCACACAGGGCACACAGAAGAAAAAGGCGGGAAAAGGGGGACCTCCCCCTCCACACCCATAGCAACCAATCACAGTGCAGATTGCCTCACGCCGGAGCCCGCCCTCTCCAATCAATCAACTACAACTTTGTGTTCTGGCTCACTCACTGCTGCTTCAGCTACTAAATTTAAATATAGACGTCATGCAGAATGACAAGAACTGTTTTCGACAAAGTATTAAAAGAGTCGCGAAGAGGGTTAGGGGTTAAAATTAGGGTTAAGGTTAAAGTGAGGGTTAGAGGTTAGAGTAAGGGTTGGGATTAGGATTAGAGTGAAGGGTTAGGGTTAGAATGAGGGGTTAGGATTAGAGGGAGGGTTCGAGTTAGGAATTAGAATGAGAGTTAGGTCTTAGAGTTAGGTTTAGGGTTAGAATGAAGGTTAGGGTTTGGGGTTAGAGTTAGTAGGGTTAGAGAGGGTTAGAGTTAGGAATTAGAATGCGGGTTAGGGCTTAGAGTTAAGGTTAGAAATTAGAATGAGGGTTAGGGTTTAGGATTAGGGTTAGAATGAGGGTTAGAGGAAGGTTAAGTTTAGGGTTAGAATGAAGGTTAGGATTAATGGTTAGTTAGGGTTAAGATTAGAGTGAGGGTTAAGAGTTAGGGTTAAGGTTATAGTTCGGTTTAGGGCTAGAATTGGGTTTAGCGTTAGAATGAAGGTTAGGGTTAGTGGTTAGGGGTTGGAGTGAGTAGGGTTAAAGTGAGGGTCAGAATTATGTTTAGGGTTAGAATTAGGGTTAGGGATTAGAACAAGGGTTGGGTTGCCATTAACCCTAACCCCAACCCAATCCTTCATTGAAAAGATATACCTGAAAATGAAAGATGAAATGCAACATAAAGCATAGGGGCTTTCTCATTGAAGCAAATGAGAAAAAGCACCAATATTGACATACTTGTTGCAACAAGGAAGGCTAGAATGGCATTTTAGCAGTATTTATACTCTTGCTGGTTTGCGTTTTGGCATTGCATAGGATGCCTAGGAAATGTGCGAAATATTAAGACTTTCATATTTTGACATCCCATTTTTGGCATGCAATAGGTTTCAAAGGCTTCTTATAAAGTGCCTAATTTCACACACTGCTGGTAACATATAACCACCTGATTCTCAGTGAATAATGAGTTTGCTAGATTGTATCTTTGAATTGTGTTTTCTACTTGCAGGGGCAAGACCTTCCAATATTTTGAAAAGACAGAATTTTGACATCCCGGGCAGTAGCCATAAACTCAATCAAAGTCAAAATAATGCCATCCAGGAGGCACTGAAAAAGTCCTTCACTCTAATTCAAGGACCGCCAGGTGAGGGGTCAACCTCCTTTTTATGACCTTGTAATCCCCTTTATTCAGGGCAAAGTCGGGGTGATTGGATGGAGCTGAGAATTTACTGGCCGGCTGCCCTTCCTGATGCCTACATGGAGTTCACAGCAGATGTCTTTTCTTTGCACCCTGATAGAGAAACATTTGCCAGTATCTAGGATTGAACTCTCAACCTTCTGAATGGGAGGCAACTGTCTTCAGCACTAGGCCAGCATAGCTAAATGTCTATGGAGATTCTCAGTCATCCAGGTCATAATTGTCCCCAAGGTGCTTTTTCAAAAGGCAACTAAGGTTTTTTCCTTGAAGACTAGTTTAGAAGAGAGGTCAAAGAGGCCATCTGTGTTGAAATTGAACAGCCCACTCACAACAAAAGATACGACAGCATCTGTCTCCTGTCTACAACATGATCCTTTCAGCAGGTCCAAGAAGGTTCCACACCCATTTACACAATTCAGGTGACTGAGGGCACGGCTAAATCTTGAAGTGGCCTCAATGGCTCTCAGAAAGAGTGCTAACAACCAGATGACTGAAAGGAATATAAATCCCTCCTTTATCCACCATTCATCCAGAACTGAAGAAGCTTCCGGGATGAGAAGTGAAACCTCTTCAAGGAAAGTCCAATTGTCTTTTGAAAAATCACCTTGGGGATTAATTTAAGCATTCCTTAACTATAACTAGATGCTCAAACATTTCTTAAGTTTTTACAGTTCATTATGGGCCAACAAATCCTTGTCGCTGCATAGTGACCACATGGACAGATGTGCATGACAATTTATCCCCAACTTAGTCCTTCAGATCTTCCAAGGATGACTTCACCACCTTTGTAACTGACTCCATCTACCTTGCTGTTGAGTTGCCTTCTTCCCTTTCATCTTTCTTCCATGTCTTAAAGGATCTTGATCTTTTCATTGATTGAGAGATTATGTGTCACCAAATCAGTTTTGACTTTCAGTGACCGCATAAATACATTTTCTCTGGTCCTTCAGCTACAGGTAATCCTCGACTTACAACCATTTGTTTAGTGACCGTTCAAAATTACAACAGTCCTGAAAAAAGTAACATGACCAGTTTTCACATTTATGACCATTGCAGCCTCCCAATGGTCGCAATCAAAATTCATTAGTTTCTAGCAACTGGCTCATATTTATGATGGTTACAGTGTCCTAAGGGACACGTGTTCACTTTTTGTGACCTTCTGACAAGCAGTCGAATGGAGAGCCAGATTCACTTAACAACTGTGTCAAGAAAGGTCATAAAATGGGACAAAACTAATTTAACAACTGTCTCACTTAGCAACCAAAATGTTGGGTTCAATTTTGGTTATAGGTCGAGGACTACCTATATTGCCCATATTGCCATTGTGACTGAGTCACCCATCTTGCTGCTGATCGTTTTCTTCTTCTCTTTCTTTCCACCTTTCCCCACTTTATGGACTTCTCAAAGAAATCTCGTCTTCACACTTATGTTCCATCAAGTCAGGCCAACTCTCAGCAACCACCTAGATAGATTCTCTCCTCCACTTCCCCCCCGATGATCTGTCCCCAACCAGATCTTTCAGCTCTTCCAACGATGGGACCATCGCCACCGTAAGTGAGACCATCAACCTTGCTGCTGGCTGTCCAATTCTTCTCTTCCTATCCACTTTTCCTAGCAGATGGACTTCTGGACTCCTCAAAGGAACTCTGTCTTCATGATTGATTGATTGTGTGCCATCCAGTCACTGTTGACTCTTAAATGTCCACATAGTTATGTTTTCTCCAGTAGGTTCTTTAAATCTTCCAATGGTGTGTCTTTCACCATGATAACTGATTCCATCGCCCTTGCTGCTTGCCGTCCTTTCCTTCTTTTCCCTTCCACCTTTCCCAGCAGGATGGACCTCTCAAAGGAACTCTGACCTCCAGTTGATTGATTGATTTTGGCCCATCAAGTCACCATTGACAGACATAAGTTTTCTCCGGGAGGATCTGCCTCCAACCTGGTCTTCCAATAATGCCCTCATCTCCATTGGAACCAAATCCACCCACTTGCTCCTATCACCCTCTCCTCTTTCCTTCCATTTTTTTTCAACATTTTGGACTTCTCAGAGAAACCTGGTCTTCGCACTGATTGACTGATTTTGTTCCATCAAATCGACAACCACATAGATGGATTTTCTTTCCCCAATCTGGCCCTTCAAGTCTTCCAATGATGTGTCCATCACCACTGTAACTGAGTCCATCCCTCTTGCTGCTCTTCTCATTCCTTCATTTCCCCAGCATTAGAACTTCTGCGGAGAATTAGCTATATTTAATTGACCCTAAAGTTCTGTGGAATGAGACTCTTGATCTGATCTACCTTGTAAGGCTGACAGTGGCCTCTTTGGTTTTGTTTCTGTATTTGTTCAGGCACTGGGAAAACCGTGGTCGGTGCTCACATCGTGTACTGGTTTCACCAGCTCAATCAGGAGAACAATGGAAACCCAACTCGAACTGGGGCGGTGCCACCACAGTCAACCACGGGTGCTACCTCATTCAAGAGCCACGTTCTGTACTGTGGACCTTCTCACAAGTCGGTTGATGTTGTTGCTGGTAATCCATTTTCTCCATTGAAAAAATATTGTTTGGGGCAGAATATTTGAAACTGAAATAGATGTGATTTTGCTGTGGTGTAGATTTGGTTGGAATGCAGCTAAGCTGAGCTCCTGTTCTCCAAATAAAATCTAGCTTTTGATTTCCTTAACTCCGTGACAATTCTCCAATTTCATCTAACATTACTCCTCCTGCAACATGTCCTATAGTGAGGTGCTGAAATTGGACAATTCTCTTAGTCAGTCTTAGAACATAAAACATAGACTAGGTGTCAGGGTTCCAAGTAACAAACCCGTAGCAAACGAAACTCTGAGGCAGGTAGATTCTTCAAAGAATAAGTTTATTGGATATGTCATATTGGCACAGGCTGGTGAAAACTGGCTCTTGAGTATTCCCTAATTAAAAGTAAATGTTTTTCACTTTCTCAAAACAATCAGCCACATGGTCCAGTCAGGATACTGTCCAGTTGCTAGACGACTCCAGTCCCCTCCTTCCGAGCACTTGCAGAAATGTCCTTGGTTCCCAAGAGAAAGTATTTTGCTTTGACTACAATGCCCCAACTATATTCCCCCCTCCCTGTCCCTCTTCTCCAGTATGTCAGTGCTGAAATCTTAAAAGCTTCAGGGTTAACAACAGGGCTAGAAGGGACCTTGGAGGTCTTCTAGTCCAACCCCCTGCTCATGGCAGGAGATCCTATAAGATTCTGGAAAAATGGCTGTCCAGTCTCTTCATGAAAACTTCCAGTGATGGAGCATCCACATTACTTAGAGGCATGTTAAAATACAGGTAGTCCTTAGGGCCACAATTTGAGCTCAACAATTTTGTTGCTAAGCAAGACAGTTGTTAACTGAGTTTTGCCTCATTTTATAATGTTTCTTGCCACAGTTGTTAAGTGAATCACTGTGATTGTTAAGTTAGTAATACAGTTAAGTGAATCTGGCTTATTCATTGACTTTGCGGTTCAGAAAGTCTCAAAAGGTGATCACATGATCCTATGACAATGCAACCTCATAAATACGAAGCAGTTGACAAGCATCCTAATTTTGATCACATGACCATGGGTATGCTGCAACAGTTGTAAGTGTGAAAAATGGTCATGTCACTTTTTCAGTGACTTCAAACAGTCACTAAATGAGTGTTGTAAGTTGGGGACAACTTGTAAATAAATAAATGATATATAGAAAAGCTATCCATCACTGTTTTATGGTTCTTTCTAGCTTGCCAAAGAGGCTGCATCTTGCAAGATCCAGACAGGATAAATTATTCTCAAGCCAACAATGTTGGTTTCTTTTTTCAGAAATGCTCATGAAGATTTCTCATGATTCCTTGAGGCCTCTGAGGGTCTATGGACATACAATTGAGTCAATGGATTTTCCTTATCCCGGCAGCAACCTCCAGTTTTCTCCAAAAGCTCAGCGGAACACAAAATCGAAACCAGAGATCAGGTCTGAGTTTAGGGCTGAGTTTGTCTTATAAAATGGGGTTCAATTGGTGTTGCTAATATTCACTTTAAGGCCTGTATCTTGTAAAGCAGGAGTCTCCAACCTTGGCAACTTTAAGATCTCTGGATTTCAACTCCCAGAATTCCCCAGTCAGCCACTTCCATTTATATATTTGGGTATCTGTGTGAGCTTGTCCGTTGTTTTGCTTTTCCTTCCTTCCTTCCTCCCTACCTTCTTCTCTCCTTCATCATCTGTCTGCTTCCTTCCTTCTCTTTTCTTCCTCCCTTCCTCCCTTCCTTCCTTCCTTCCTTCCTTCCTTCCTTCCTTCCTTCCTTCCTTCCTTCCTTCCTTCCTTCCTTCCTTCCTTCAGATCTGCTGTTTTTGTTTGACTCAACTTCCTCTAATTAAATCAATAAACAAAGGCAAATTTTTTTTAAAAAAAAGCACACCAATAAAACAGTCCTCAGAGAAGCAACCTGGCCTTGAGGCCCCTCATTCCTATCCTTAGCTAAAATGGCCCAATTCATGAACGTCTGTGCAGAAAAAGTCTGATGTTCTACATCAGGTTTTCATAACCTTGGCAACTTTTTAAAGACGATAGATAGCCAAGTTTAGATTTATGGGAGATGAAGTCCATACATCTGAAAGTTGCCCGAGATTGAGAAATATTGTACCGAAGGGGTAGCTGTTCATGCATGGGTGTAAATATTTTGGGATTTTGTTTAAACTAATCCTTTCTGTGCAGGAGTATCACTTTGCACTATCGGATCCGGGGGAAAAAAAATCCTTACGCGGAACAGATCCTCCGGTTTGATGAACGAGTGAAACGTAAAGAAGAGATCACAGAAGACGAAGTTGAGAGGTGAGATAGAAAGGGCTGCCAAGCCTGATATGGGGATTCCTCAATTTTGCCACGAGTTTCCTGAGCAACCTAAGAGAACCAGTCTGTTTATTAGTTAAGATGCAGACCTAGAAACAGGGAGTTCAAGTCCCATCTTAGGCATGAAAGCTGGCTGGGTGACTTTGAACCAGTCACCAGGAGACTGTGAGTTCTAGCCCCGCCTTAGGCATGAAAGCTGACTGGATGACTTTGGATCACTAGTAGACATTGAGTTCTAGTCCCACCTTGGGAATGAAAGCCGGTTGGGTCAGTTATCAGGAGATGGTGAGTTCTAGTCCTGCCTTAGGCATGAAAGCCACTTGGGCTAATTACCAAGAGACTGTGAGTTCTAGTTCCGCCTTAGGCATAAAAGATGATTGGGTGACTTTGGATCAATCACCAGGAGGTAGGGAGTTCTAGTCCCACTTCAGGCATGAAAGCTGACTAGGTGACTTTAGGCCAATCATCAGGGACATGGGAGTTCTAGCCTCAGCTTAGGCATGATAGCTGGCTGGGTATCTTTGGGCCAGTTCCTATCTCAGCCCACCTCACAGGGCTGTTGTGGGGAAAATAGGAGGAAGGAGTATTAGGTATGTTTGCTACATTGAGTTATTTATAAAAATAATTAAGGCAGTGTATTTGTGTGTGTGCGTGTCTGTGTGTGTTGACACTCAGCTATGTTAGCTGAGTGGCTCAGACTGGGTGCAGTACAGGTGTGTGAATAGGACAGGGAAACTTAGTTCCTAGTTCTCTCTCAACCAAAGGGACTTGGGCTGAGTACCCCCACTCCCTACTTCTCAGCCCATCCTACTGTGCAGGATTGTTGTTAGGAGCAAAACAGGAGGTGAGAACCCCACATAGGACCTTCTGAGTGAAAGGAGGGCTATACATTTAATGCAGGTAGTCCTTGACTTATGACAGCAATTGATCCCAAAATTTGTATTGCTAAGTAAGGCATTTGTTAAGCCCCATTTATGACCTTTTTACCATGGTTAAGCAAACCAGTCATTAAGTGAATCATACAGTTGTTAAGTGAATCTGTTCCTAGCAAGGTTGCAAATGACAATCCCCCTATTTATGACGGCTGCAGCATCTCGGGGGTCACATGATCGCCTTTTGCAGCCTTCCCAGCTGGGCTTCCCACCACCAAAGTCAATGAGTGTAACCGAATTAGCTTAAGAACTGTGGTGATTCACTTAACACCCATGGCAAAGAAAGTCATAAAATCACACATGACTCATGTAATTGCCTTTCTGGTCACAAATAAAGAATTTTTTAATTCTTTATTGCAAATAATGAATAATAGAATTGGAAGGTACCTTGGAGGTCCTCTAGTCCAACCCGCTTCTCAGAGAGGAAAAAACTTTCTAATCTCTTCTTAAAAACCTCCACTATTGGAGTATTCACAACTTCTGGAGGCTTGTCATTATACTGATTAATTGTTCTGTCAGTTACAACAATTGTGGCTGTAGTTCGAGGACTACCTGTACCATAAAGAGAAAGAAAGCACAGCGCATAACTCTTCTTCCCCAGTCCTGTCTTAGCCTTGCCTTGAACAATGTGGAAGGGTAGATTAATTTCCCCTTTCTCAGAGTCTCACTTTACTTTTAAATCAAGTTTCTAGCCCTGTGTGAAGCTGGTTTGAAGTATGTGGGAAAACCATGGAGAGTCCGGAGGATCCACTTAAAAAATAAGGGGTTTGTTTTGTGGATTGACAGGTACAAAGGGCTGCTGAGCAAGGCACGAGGGTATGAACTGCAATGCCACAATGTCATCCTTTGCACATGTTCCGCCTCTTCGTCCAAATTCCTTGTGGATAAGCTCCAGGTCAAGCAGCTTCTGATCGATGAGTGTGCCATGTGCACGGAACCTGAAACACTCATCCCGTTGGTGAATTACAGGAGGATTGGGGAGGGGGGGCGGAGGGGGACGGGGGACGGGGACGGTGTTGCCCTCCAAAGTACAGGTAGTCCTTGACCACAATTCAGCCCAACATTTCCATCATTAAGTGAGACAGTGGTTCATTGAGCATTGCCCCACTTTACAGCCTGTCTTGCCACCGTTGTTAAGTTGAATCACTGCAGCTGTTAAGTTAGCAATGCGATTCTCAAGTGAATCTGCCTTCCCCATTGACTCTGTTGGCCAAAAGGTTGCAAAAAGGAGATCCCATGACCCCGGGATACTGAAACCATCCGAAATGTGAACCAGTTGCCAAGCGTACAAATTTTGATCGCATGACTGTGGGGATGCTGCAAAAAAAATATATTGTTGCTAAACAAGGCAGTTGTTGAGTGAGTTTTGCCCCTTTTTATGACCTTTTTTTTGCATTAGTGGTTAAGCAAATCCCTGCAGTTGTTAAGTGAATCATGCAGTCGTTCAGTGAACCCAGCTTCCCCACATTGACTTTGCTTGTCAGAAGCCAGCTGGGAAGGTCGTAAATGGCCATAAATACATGTCAGTTGCCAATGCCCCAAATTTTGATCATGTGACCACGGGGATGCTGTTAGTAAGTTAATAACATGGTTGTTAAGTGAATCTGACTTCCCCATTATCATTTGTTAAGTGAGTTTTGCCCCATTTTACAACCTTTCTTGCCACAGTTAAGTAAATCACTGCAGTTATTAAATAAACACAGTTGTTAAGTGAATCTGACTTCCCCATTGACTTTGCTTGCCAGAAGGTCGCAAAAAGTGACCACATAATCCCTTGACACTGCAACTGTCATAAATACAAGCCAGTGTCTGATGACCACAAGGGTGCTTGTAATGGTCTTAAGTGTGAAAAATAGTCATAAGCCAGGTTTTTTTCAGTGCTGTTGTAACTTTAAAAGGTTGCTAGACAAATTGTTGTAAGTCGAGAACTACCTGTATATGACCCGGAATCTGAAGCCACAACTGTTCCTGGTTCTTGCACCTTGTTGAAAGCTGGCTGGGTGACTTTGGGCATGGCTGGCTGAGAAATTCTGGGAGCTGAAGTCCACAAGTTTTAAAAGTTGTTAAAGTTGGACAGCCTTGCTGTAAGGGATTAGGAAGAGGAGAGTGGTTGATTCTGAGAACATCTGGTCTCCTTGCAGGTTGTGTTGTTAGGAGACCATATGCAGCTGAGACCTGTGGTCCACAGCGACTTCTGCAAGAAACTCGGGATGGAGAGGTCTCTCTTTGAGCGCTACCACAAGCAGGCTTTGATGCTCAACATCCAGTATCGCATGGTAAGAATTTCTCTGCCAGGAAGTACAAACATAATGCCACCCTAGAAACCAGGAGACAGTGAGTTCTAGTCCTGTCTTAGGCACTAAAGCCCATTGTGTGGTAGGCTGATCAATAGGAGACAGTGAGTTCTAGTCCTGCCTTAGGCACAAAAGCCCACTGGGTGACTTTATGCCAATCACTAGGAGACAGTGAGTTCTAGTCCCATTTTAGGCACTAAAGCCCACTGTGTAATTTTACACCAATCACTAGGAGACAATGAGGCTTAGGCACTTAGGTGACTTTAAGGCAATCACTAGGAGACAGTGAGTTCTAATCCCATCTTAGACACTAAAGCCAACGAAATGATTTTAGACCAATCACTAGGAGACAGTAAGTTCTAGTTCCATCTTAAGCACTACAGCCAAATGCATGACTTTAGGCCAATAACCAGGAGACAGAGAGTTCTAGTCCTGCCTTAGGCATAAAAGCTGGCTGGGTGACTTTGGGCCAGCCACTTTCTCTCAGCCCAACCCAGGGTTGTTGTTATGGGGAGAATAGAAGGTTTATAAAGTATGTTTGCTGCCTTGAGTTGTTTATAAAATTAATAAAGGCAGGGTATAAAAATAATTAAATATGTAATTGAAAATAATATTTGAAGTTGTATAACTGAACAGAACAGCAACAGGGGTCGAAATACCTTGCATGGAATAAGCATCTTTTAACTCTGCAGCACAAGGATATCTGCCGGTTCCCTTCCATGACCTTTTACAACAGTAAACTGATGACCAGTCCCCAAATCATTCGTGGAAGCAGCGCGCTCTACCACCGTAGCGAATTTGAGTGCACCCCCATCATCTTTGGCCACATCGAAGGAAGAGAGAGGTCCCTCGTGGTCTCCACGGAAGAGGGGAACGAGAACTCCAAGGCCAATCTGGAGGAAGTGCAGCAGGTGGTGAGTATGCCTGAAGAGTAGGTAATTCTTGACTTACGTCCACAGTTGAGCCCAACATTTCTTTTTCTTTTTTTTTTAAAAGACAAGCTTTATTCAATTTTTCACATGAATTACAAAACAAAAAGGCTCTTTTCGGTGGACAACATATTTCCGGGTCACCACTTTTACATGCAAATATGACAATAGCTACATATTCATTATTTACATTCCACTTCCTATCTTATCCAATTTTTACTTCGTTCTATTATTACCTTTTCCATTCCAACTTTTACAGAAGAAAAGAACAAACAAATTGATCCTGGTCTCTGCTATTGGTCTCAATCTAAACATCCTCTCATTTCATTTCAATTATTTCAAATATATTTCTTTCCTAATTTCACAGGTATTCCCCTTTTTAGTTACCTTCTTGAATCTCAAATTTTTAATCCCCCCCTTCTTTTTCCTCTTCTTTGTGGTATTCTTTGTGTTAATTGTCTATTTAAGATGGAGTTGAGCCCAACATTTCTGTGGCAAAGTGAGACAGTTGTTAAGTTAAATTTGCCCCATTTTACAATCTTTCTTGCCATAGTTGTTAAATGAATCACTGCAGTTGTTAAGTGAGTAAAAGCGATCGTTAACTGGTTCCAGCTTCCCCATTGACTTGGCTTGTCAGAAGGTCACAAGTTGGAAGACAAGGATTATATATATTTAATTGTATTATTATTGTTAGCATTGTGTAAAAAATATGTTGACCCAGTCAATGCATTGTCCACAAAGTATGTATGGATGTTAAAGGAAAATACCAAATAATATCCCAAGACACTACAACTGTTCTAAATATGAACCAGTTGATTTTGATTACATGGGCATGGGGATTCTGCAATGGTTGTAAATGTGAAAAATGGTAATGCCATTTTTTTTTCAGTATTGTTGTAATTTTGAATGGTTATTAAATGATCTGTTGTAAGTTGGGGACTATCTGTAGAAGTTTATCTATTTATTGTTAATTTTTTATGCCAGTCCATTTCCCTTATAAGGGGTCCATGGCCGGCTTATGGATCAGTTCTGTAGGCTGAAGTCCAGTCCTTGTTGACTTCCAAGTTTTCTAGATCATAGCTGAGAACAAGGTTTCTCTCTCCAAGGGGAAATCCCCTTCAAAGGTTGCCATCTGTAGACTAGGTTTTCATTAAGACAGGTGTGGGGGAGAGTTTACCTGACTCCCAGTGCATTGCTATCGCCCTTCTCAAATGTTTGATGTCTTATTCAATGAAGGAATTGTATTTATTATCGTGAGCATCTTGGGGCTGTCTGAGCTTGATTATTTTTTACAGACGTTTGTGATCCAACTAGGTAACATTATCAATGCTAGAAGGGAGTGGGATTTGTGGAGTGGAAGAGGAGGAGGAGGAGGACTATGGAGTTCTCGGTGCTCTCTGAGTTTGGTTATTGTCTTGCAGACATTTCATGACCCCACTAGGTAACATCATCAATGCTAGAAAAGAATTGGGTTTGCTTCCATTCCAGCACTCATTCACATCTTTCGAACACTGAACTTTAAACTGAGTGGGTGGGGAATATGAAACATGGCAAGAGTGAAGTTTTGAGCCAGCCCACATTTGGATTGGCTCACCAGCAGCTACCTGGGGGCAAAGATGAGGCTTGCAGCCCATGTTATCCAGAAACTGGGAAGGAATAATAGCTCGCCCAGTTCTCTGGCAAAGGGAGTCGCTGTTGATTGCAAGGCTTTCACCTCGAACTTCCATTCTTGGTTAAGTCGGAGCTTAAGGTCTCCATGGTTTTTTTCTAGGTGAGAATTGCAAAGCAGCTGACCCTAGATAAAACCACCAGACCGGCCGAGATCGCCATCCTGACAGGTTATAATGCCCAGGTCACTGAGATCAAGAAGCAACTCGCTCTGGATGGCATGCGAGACATATCCGTTTGCACCATCATGAAAAGCCAAGGTAAGGAAGGGATACGTCGCTAAGCTGGATCCAATTCCCTCTTGAAAACATTGACTGGGATCATCTTGCAAAAACCTCTTTTACTTTTCTTTCAGAGTACAGGTAGTCTTCAACTTACGACCACAATGGAGCCCGAAATTTCTGTTGCTAAGCAAGATGGTTAAGTGAGTTTTGCCCATAACAAAACAATCCCTAATCCATGGGACCCTGACATGCCCCGTCTTCCCATCCTGGTAGGTCTCTCCCCTATTACATCTAGCCGGCCCACCAGGACAGGAAGTCAGGTGTGTTAGGGGTCCCATCAATTAGGGATTGTCATATGGGGGGGACCACAAAACAGGGCTTTCTCGATGATGACCCCTCCACGAGATATGGTTAGCCCCACCCTGCTGCTTTCCAAAAGACCCTAAAAACATGATTTTGTCAGTGGGTCTGGGGACCCCGAATGGAGACGGAGACCAACAAACACTGTAGCTGATTTGATTGTGTTGTTGCTGCCATCAGTTGTGGATGGGGGTTTTCTCAACAGCTGTATTATATGGTGGATTTTTAAAATGTTTAAATGTTGTAAGCCAGGGGTGTCAAACTCAAGGCCCACGGGCCGAATCCGGCCTGCAGTGTGGTTGGATTTGGCCCGCAGGGCCGTTTTGGAGAACGTAAGGAGATGGCCTGCGTCGCTTCAGCCCGGTCTATCCAATGCAAAGAGGAAACATACCAGCAATTTGGGGAGTGGGGTCAAGCTGGCCACGCCCACCCAATCCCCCCCTCGTCAATCACAGCCCTGATGCAGCTCTCAGTGAAATTGAGTTTGACACCCCTGTTGTAAGCGGTCCTGAATCAGAATAGTAGAATAACAGAGTTGGAAGAGACCTTGAAGATCTTCTAGTCCAACTGTCTGCTCAGTTCGTCCTCAACTTACAACCACAATTGGACCCAACATTTCTGTTGCTAACTAAGTGACTTTTGCCCCGTTTTATGACCTTTCTTGCCACATTTGTTAAGTGAACGACTGCAGTTGTTAAGTTAATAGCACTGTTGTTAAATGAATCTGGTTTCCCCATTGACTTTGCTTGTCAGAAGGTTGCAAAAGGGGATCACATAACCCCGGGACATTGCAACAGTCATAAATATGAGTCAGGTGTGAAGCATCCGAATGTAAATCACCTGACTATGGGGATGCTGTCATGGTCGTAAGCGTGGGAAATGGCCATAAGTTACTTTTTTCAGTGCCTTTGTAGCTTCGAAGGGTCAGTAAATAAATTGTTGTAAGTCGAGGACTACCTGTAACATGATTGTTAAGTGAAAGTTGGTCCCCCACTGACTTTGCTCCTCAGAAGATCGCAAAAGATGATCACATGACCCTGAGACATTGCAACCATCATAAATACGAATCAGCTGCCAAGCATCTGAATTTTGATCATGTGACCATGGGGGATGCTGCAATGGTTGTGTGAAAAACATTGATAAGTCACTTTTTTCAGTGCCGTTGTAACTTTGAACGGTCAGTAAAGGAATTGTTGTAAGTCAAGGACTACCTGTACCATCCTGGTCAAATGGCTATCCAATCTCTTCTTCAAATTCTTCTCTTATCCAGTGTTGGAGCACTCGTATATACGTTCTGGAGTGAACCCATTGTTCTGTCAGGAAATTTCTCCTTAGTTCTAGGTTGGTTCTCTCCTTGATCAGTTTCCATCACTTAGGTGTGAGTTGGGTGGCTGTATAAACGTGTTTAATCCGTAAGTAAATAAATAAAAACTTGGTTCCAATTTTTGTTTATCAGGCAGCGAATGGAAATACGTGATAGTGTCCACGGTCCGCTCCTGTAACCGGGGAGAGATTGATGAAAGCCCCACAAGGAGTTGGGAGAATAACCGTCTTGGCTTCATAGCAGATGCCAATCAGATCAATGTCTGTCTCACTCGGGCACAGGAAGGCCTCTGTATTATAGGTAAGCAATAACCTGCTTAGCAGGAAGAGGGGCTTGATTCACATTGTGTTCTAGACCAGGCTCCAAGGGGACTGAACTTTAGTAGTTTGGAGGAGGCTCACCATCATTGTAGCATGTTGAGTCAACCAGCCCATTACATTAAGGTGGAAGGTGGTTTACAGGTAGCCTTGTGATTACCCGAAGTTTGTTCTTGAACTGGTTGATTCTGCCGTTCTGGAGACCACAAACCTCTTATCACATCATCCCGAGTGCAATTTCCTTTGGAGCTATTCCACAGTTTTGTTTTGTTTTGTTATTTTATACTTTATTTTGTTTTGTTTTGTTTATTTTTTTATTTTATTTTACTTTACATTATATTTATTTTATTATTTATATCTTTCTTCTATTATTTTTATAAACAATTCAAGGTGGTGAATATATGTATTACTCTTTCCTCCTCCTATTTTTCCCCACAACAATCCTGTGAGGTTGGTTGGGTTGAGAGAGAGAGGGACTGGCCCAAAGTCACCTAGTCAGCTTTCATGCCCATGGCAGGGCTAGAACTCACCCTCTCCTGGTGTTTGGCCCAATCTCTTGGTCCATTTTGGTCAAATAAAAACCCTTCCTTTTTCCTGCCTTTCTCTCCTGCTTGTAGGAAACAGGTATCTTCTGGCGAGCAATTCTGTGTGGCGGAAACTTCTGGATCATTACTCTAAGCATGGATGCCTTACCACGGCCAATGCAATTAAGATTAAAAAGAGGACTAGTCTTCGCCCGTAAGAAGGTATGATGGGAAAAAAAACCCCCTTCTTTCTTTTTAATCTCCTGGGCATGGAGACCATACCTAATTCCAGGAGAAGGGATTTACCAACACTGAGCCAAAACCGGGAGCCTTGTGGCTAAGGACAGGTTGCCAGGAAAAAAATAAAAAGCTACTGCACGACTTACTTTTTCAGGATCCAATCTCAGAGGAGACTCTGCCTTTTTACGGGGATGAGAAAAAAAAAAAAGGGCCGTCTCTTGATACATTTTTAGCATTCAGGAATCTTTTAGAAAAGCAACTTCAGTTGGGGCATTTAATAGATGCGGTTGAAGAATGAAGCGACTGGTCCATCACAAACCTGCGAGGAATGCTTGCAACTCGGAGACAGGGGAAATTGCCCCGCCGAAGAGCAGGGCTCCGGCTGCATTTTTCAAACCAGATCTTTGGAAGGAAGATCAAAATCCTCATCCGCCAATCCTGCCCCGTCCCAAATCAACAAAACGACAAACTGACTCAGCCACCCGACGCAATGCAAACGATTCCTTTCGATCTCTGACCTGGAACGCTTTTTTGTATACATTTTTATATATATATATATATATATATATATTTTAGCCCGGTTAGATTTTACTTGAAATAGTTTCTTCTTGCTAGTTGTTTTTTTTTTTTTAACGTGCTTTTAAAAAGAAACGAAAACTAAGAACCACAGAACTGGGGGTGCCTTCTTAAGCTTCGTGCTGTTTGATCTAGCAAACCCTTTGGGCTGAGCCCACGAAGGGGATCGGGGGTGGTGGTGGTGGCCCTTGCTCCAGGTCGCCGTGTTTTCTCTCTCTACCTTTTAGCCAAAATGAGATCGTCACCTCTGCTGGCCTTGAACAGGATCGGGAAAAACTGGGTGCGATGGCGTCTTAGTGAGTTTTGATGGCTGCAATTGGGGGGGGGGGAAGAAACTACTGCCAAATCATCTTAGGCGAACTCAGTCTGATGAGCGTTGGTGGTGATAAAACCCACCCTCTGTTTAGGAAGCTGCTATAAGCTTATATGTAATAGTGCCTAGTGAAGCTCAATGAACTGTGGGCGCGTTCACACAAAGTGCTTATCCAAGTCAGCAGCAAAGCGAGGATTTGCACAACGGGCTGCACCTTTTTTTTTCTTAGCTTTAACCTTAATGCTGTAAGGAAAGTGTGGTTTTATTGCAAAGGGTCGATTGTGAGGTAACCTCCAGAAGTTTTGGACCTGAACTGCCCCAAACTCATGGGTCTTTGGTGCTCTTTCAGCCTGGTTGTTTTCTTGCAGATGTTTCCCGACCAGACTAGGAGCATCATCAGTGCTACAAGGAAGTGGGGTTTGCAAAGTGAAGGAGGAGGAGGAGGAGGAGGAGGAGGGGCCCTTGGTGCTCTCAAACTCGCTGGTTTTCCTGCAGAAGTTTCATTACCCAACTAGATAACATCATCAGTGCTTGAAGGGAGTGAAGTTTGTGGAGAGGAAGAGGAGAAAAAGAGGGCAAGAGGAGGATGGGGAGGAGAAGGAGTGTGGGAAACCTTGGTGTTCTCTGAGCTGGGTTGTTTTCTGCAGACATTTTTATTACCAGATTAGGTAATGTCATCAATGCTAGAAAGGAATGAGAGCAAATCCCACTCCCTTCTGGCACTGATGATGTTACCTAGTCTGGGTCATGAAACGTCTTCAAGAAAACCACCAAGCTCAGAGAATACCAAGGACCCCAAAGTCCCTTCTCCCACTCCTCCTCTTCTCATTCCACTCCACTCCCCGTTAGCACTGATGATGTTAGCTAGTTTGGGTCATGAAACGTCTACAAGAAAATCACCAAGCTCAGAGAGCAATCAAGGGCCTCCTCATTTCAGCCCTGATAGTCTCCTTTATTGGCACCCAACTCAGATCGGCAAGGGGGTTGTGGACATTATAACCAGAGCTGCTTTAGAGACACCTCAAGGGCATCAGGAGTATCATTTGTCCTTGTGTAAATGACACAGCTGCTGCCTTGGTTTCTACCCGCATCCATGTTGTAGTTCCAAAGATCTGGAGGATACCAGAGTACTTCTCTCCGACCAATATGCACTGCACTTTTTTTAAAAAAAAAAACCACTGGATTGAATGTATTATTAAGGGCGGGGAGAGAAATGAGTGTTCCCTCCCCACCCGATCACAGATCTCAACAATCTTTCAAAGGCCTGCTTGAAACTAGATGCAAACCTGGATTTAGCTGACAATTGCAAAGCAATTTGGCTGAACCTGGTGACGGGGAATCTCCGATGCCTACATCACCCTAGTTTCAACCCAGAGCTAGTTCTAATATATTGTATGATAATGTAATTATACAAGGGCAGCTGGGCTCCTTTTACAATACTAACAATGTGTGAATGTGTGTAGCAACAGTTGCCGTATTATCCTTTTGTAGTTTTGCAACTGATACTGTTCCTTTTTTCCTTAACTTTGCATCTAATTTATTGCAATATATGGAATTACGGGGGGAGGGAGAACACCTTAGAATTCTGCCTAGAAGTTGTCTAGTTTTAGACACGCTGGAAACTTAGCATATTTCCCACCCACCCTTTTTTTCTCTCTCTCCTTTTGGCTTTATTATCAGGGATCTTGATAGCAATGCAGGGAGACCGAGGCAGCCCTCTTTCTCCGACTCTTCTACCTCAGTGCTCTTAAATGTGAATGTTTTTAAAAGTTTGTGCCCTCGCGCATCCTGATCCACTTAGTTTGCAATACAAGTCAGATTTGGAAAGAAAAATCCATATTTTCATAAAGAAAGCACAGGTTAGTCCAAAGACACAGCCAAACTATATTGAGCCAGCTTTCGAATTGTGAACATTCCTATCTTTGCTTTACTTAAATGTCTTGTGTGGTCCTACGAAAGAAAAAGAAAGAAAGAATCACTTTACTAAAGGGAAAAAAAAAACTGTAATTCCCATGCCTACTTTGTTACATTAGCCATCAAGAAACTTCGAATCAAAAACTCTAATTCTGCTATAACTCTAATTCTGCCTGCTATAATTCCCACACCTAATTTCTTGATTTCTAAGGCAGAAGCCCCCAACTTTTCTGGCTTTGTGGACTGGGTTAGTGGCGGGGGGAGGGTGCAGAGGCGATGGTCCTGCGTGAGCGGCCAGCAAGTGCATGCGCATGTGTGCACATGCAGCTCCCTTTGGGTGAGCCGGGTGCATGTGCGCCTGCCGCCATGGAGTGCACAAGCTTGCCCATTGCTCGCGTAAGTAAAAGCACATGCGCGTGCTGGCCATTGCCCTGACCTGGTTGCAATCCCCTTGTGCCCCACTGGTTGGGGATCCCTGTTCTAAAAAAACTATCATCCCCACACCTACTTCCTTAACCGTTAGTCATCAAGAAAGAGACTTCTAAAGAAAAACTATAATTCCCATCCCCTTAGCGTTAGTATTCAAGAAAGAAAAAGAATCACTTCTATCTAAAACCTAATTCCCCATGCCCGCTGTCTTAGAGTTAGTCAGAAAGGAAAGAAAGAAAGAAAAAATTTCTTAAGCAAAACTAGATTTTTCATGACTGTTTGCTTACGGATGCCTTTGTTTGCCCCAGGCAATTAAGTAGTTTTCTCCATTTTTAATCCCTTATATTTGTCTTTGCTCCCTAACTCCTCTCGGTTACCAACATCACTTGTGTTCCATCTTCCTCCTGAGATGCTCTGCTATCTCTACTTCCCTCCAAAGCTTCGGCAGAACCACCCAGATTTTGGCAATGCCCCACTCCTCCCTCCCTCCCTCCCCCTCTCTCTCTCCTGAAGTGGTGATGTTACTGCTGTAATCCTGCAGGTGCTGATTGCAGGTAATCCTCAGTTTACAACTGGTCGCTTATTTGACCGTTCTGAGTCATAACCGACCCCCAGAAGGGGAATTTACACCCCAGATCTGAAGTTCCAATGGTCGCCCACCCCCCCAACCCTGCAGTCACATGACCTCACTTCGGGCACTTGGCAACACGACCCTGTTTACGTCCATTTGCAATATCCTGCCGTTACGTGACTGCGTTTTTATGACGACTTCGCACTTATTTCTGGGTTTCCAGCGAAACTTGCACCCTAGTGAATGGGTTTGCTTAACGTTCCTTTAATGACTACCACAAAGATGTCATAAGGTGGCAAGGCTCCATTACGGTCATAACTCGAGGACTACTTATAAATTCTGCCACAGGCACTGTGAAGTAGCATCGCCCTTCAAAGGGGGTATATTCAAACATTTCCATGTCAATATTTGGAGTATCTGCCAGAATTTAGACCCTGGAGAGCACCCAAATGTCTCCGCCATGTTTCACTCGTTGATTAGGGTCCTTGTTAAATATGGCTGATGTTCGGCCATGTCTCATTGGATAAGTCTTCGAGGCTGGTGGAGTTACAAGAGGCTTTTTCTAGAACAACCTTGGCACTTTTTTTTTTTTGTAAATTTTATTGGTTTTTAAAGACAAACAAAAACAAACAAAACATAAAAACGTCTAACTTTCTTCCATAAGTATACAAGCAGTGTGTCGGTTGGTTTACAGATTTTTTGTGCATCCATTTCATAGTCTCAATTACAGTTACATTGCATAATAACTCATATTATCAATCAAAAATTGAATACCCTAGTATCATTATTAATCAATCATTTGACTATCATTTTGTTCATTCATACTTTGCGAGATAACTATAATTTACATAGTTTATTTTATAACAATTCATATAATCATACCAAATCTATCCTAAAAACATTTTATAGATATGATATCAAAAAAAAAGAAATATATCTTTATATATTCATTATTTTCTAGAATTCTAAATATTATATTATTGTGTTTTATTATCTAACCATTGATAGAAAAGGTCCCAAATTTTATAAAATTGTTTATCCTCTTGTACTCTAATTTCAAATGTCAATCTACTCATTTCAGCACCTTCCAATATTTTCTTAATGATTTCTTCCTGCGATGGTATTTTCTCATTTTTCCAATTTTTAGCAAATACAATCCTAGCCGCTGTTAATACATTTACAATCAAATATTTTAAATCTTTACTGTATGTATCAGGTAAAAAACCTTGGCAATTTTGTGGATTTCAACTCCCAGAATTCTCTAGCCAGCACTTTTGGTTTCACTTAGTGACCACTTTGCTTAACAACTGAGCTGCTGGTCACTAAATGAGAATTACTTGTAACACCTCCAGTTTTACAACGGCAACTATGGACACGTAGCACAAAAGAATTGCAATCGACACACTGTATGTAATTGAAGGATGGTTTTTATGTTTTTATGCATTGTTTTGTTTGTGTTTGTTTAAAAAAATAAAAAACTGATAAAAAAAACTTATTAAAAAAAAAAAGTCAAGATGGTGCCTTCAGCCCCGCAAGTCCCTTTTTATACAACGTGGAGTTGGCATCCTGATTTATTTTGATGGCAAATTTTTAATCACGGGTAGTCCTCAACAGAACGACCGTAACTGAGCCTGCCCATTATGGTTGTAGGTCATGAAGGTTGTAAGTCAAGTCAGTCACGTGACGGATCTGATTTTCAACCTTTTTCCAGGGGTCATTAAGCAAGCACTGTCGTTGTTAAGCGAGCCCATTATTTGCTAGGGAGCCGTATTGCCAAAACCCAGAAATAAGTTCTGGCTTTCAGCGAAGCGTGGTCACATGGCCGTGGGAGTCACATGACCATGGGGGGGGGGCGTGACCGCCAGAACTTTAGCACCGGGTTGCAATTCCCTTGTTCCAGGTAGGTTGTAAGTTCAGGACTTAACTGTATTTTGTTGATATTTCTCTTTAAAACATGAAATGTAATAAAGATACTTTTGAAACTATTTTAGCATGATCACGTTGATTTTTAAAAGTACATTCTGATAGGAAAATCTGGTTAAGTGCCATTACAACGAACTGGATCTGTTTTTGCTGTGATCTGTTGGTCGTGTCCTGCTGGATTGGTCCTGAAACATGTTTGAAATGAGCTGTAACATTTCCAAGTTGTTTGTGTCTTTTTTGTATGCTTAAAGAAATATTTTTAAAGGCTATCTTTAATTAGTCAATTCTATAATATTTGTTTACTGGAGTCTATTTTTATGGTGTATGGTTATTGTGTGTGTGTTTTTTTTAAAAAAATCAGTGATTTGCATGTAAATTGCCTCTTCTTGAACTTTTTGGAGAGATTTGATATCTGTAAATTATGGTTTTTCAGTCCACTGAATTATTTTTTTAATGATAAGGGTCTAAAAATTTCTGATGTTTATAGAAACATCGACATTCCTCTTTAATCAAATATTGTGACGCTGGATGTACTGTACCAAATAAAACTCTTTCTGACTCTGAATTCTAATTGTATTAAGTATAAGTGTGTGTTTGTGTGTTTGAGTGTGTGTGAGTAGTTCCACTTTAGACATGAATTCCAGCCGGGTAGCAGTTGCGTTCTAGTTCCACCTTAGGCATGAAAGCTGGCTGGGTTGCTTTGGGCCGAATACCAGGAAATGTTGAGTTCTAGTCCCGCTTTAGCCATGAAATTCAGTTGGGTGATTTTGAGTCAATTACTAGGAAACTCTGAGTTCTAGTCCTGCCTTAGATGGGTGGCTTTGGGCTGATCACCAGGAGAATGAGTGTTCTAGTCCCACGTTTGAAAGCCAGCTAGATGGCTTTGGACCCATTACTAGGATACTGAGTTCTAGTCCTGCCTTAGACATGAAAGCTATCTCGGTGACTGTGCTAATCATCCAGAGATGGTGAGTTTTAGTTCCACCTTAGGCATGAAAGTCAGAGGATTTGGGGCCGATCACCAGGAGGCTGAGAGTTCTAGTCCCACTTAGTCTTGAAAACCAGCTAGGGGGTTTTGGGGCCAATTACTAGGACACTGAGTTCTAGTCCCGCCTTAGACATAAAAACCAGCTGGGTGACTTTGGGCCAATCACCAGGAGGCTGAGAGTTCTAGTCCCACTTAGTCCTGAAAGCCAGCTAGGGGGTTTTGGGCCAATTACTAGGACACTGTGAGTTCTAGTCCTGCCTTAAGACATGAAAGCTAGCTGGGTTACTTTGTGCCAATCATCAGGAGATGGTGAGTTCTAATCCTGCCTTAGGCATGAAAGTTAGTTGTGTGATTTTGGGCCAATCACCAGGCGATTGTGAGTTCTAGTCCTGCCTTAGGCACGAAAGTCGGTTGTGTGACTTTGGGCTAGTCACAGTCACTCAGCCCGACCCACCTCACAGGGTTGTTGCTGTGGAGAAAATAGGAGGAGGAGGAAGGAACAATAGGCATGTTCACTACCTTAAGTTATCTATACATTAATAAAGGCGGGATAAAATTCGATCCAGCAAGCAAATAAATATCTCGGCGTTCTAGATCTTTTCCTCTTTGTCTTCCTTTTAGCACTTGGTTAACCCCTGGCTTGCAAACAGCTTTTGCCTGTAAGTCAGATTTCACAGGAACCTCCAAGAAAGTCACACAAACCCAAAACAAAAACCTTAAGTGTCTTAACTCCGGAGTGTTAACCATCAACCAATCATCTATATCGGGTCAGCAACCTTTTGGACCTCAGGGACCACCAAACTCATCATTTTAAATCCCATGGACCAGAGACCCTGAGAAAATCCCCCCAAAAATTCTGCAGGAAAATTCCCCCACCCCGTTTTCCTATAGATCAATTGTTCTTTGATCACAGGATACCATCTCCAGCTCCGTTCTCAGGGACAAAGAGAGAGAGAGAAAGAGAGACTTTTGGCTTCATGCAAGGAAAGCAGCAGAAGCCGCAGAAGTCTTTCTTTCTCTCCCCCAAACTCCGCCAGAAGTGAATCTTTGTGAGACTTGTCGCGCCGGCGAAGCCTCTTGGAGCCCGAGGCCTTGCAGGGTCCCATAGACCCATTTCTGGCGGAGTTAGGGGGAGAGAAATAAAGATTTTTACTGCTTTCCTTGCGTGCAGCCAAAAGCAGAAGAAGCGGAAAGAAGCAGCTCGGTGGCCAGACAAGGCACGTGGGGCAAGTTCCCCCCTTTCCCCCCCCTCCTCTCACTACCCCGTGTTGTGTGCAATGCAAGCGACGCAAGCCTTGTGTTCCCGCAGGCCATGTGGGCGGCGCTGCCTTGTGTTCCCGCGCAGCCTGGCTTAATCGCTTTGGGGGTGACATTTCTCTGCGGACCACCAAATTTTCCTCACGGACCACCAGTGGTCCCCGGCTCACTGGCTGGCGACCATTAATCTATATGACCTAAATGCAGGGCTGGGATTCAACCGGTTCGAGCAAACCGAATGTTAAATTTACATCTGGTTCGCTGAACCAACCGGCTGGCCCCACCAACCCCTTCCCTCCCAGGAGTCTCCACCTGGCCCATTTTGGATCCGCGCGGAGGCTCTGGGAAGGTGAAAAATGGCCCCTCTGGAAGTTCGGAAACAGGCCTATTTCCAACTTCCGGAGGGCCTCCGGACCATGGGGGAGAATGTTTTCACCTTCCCAGAGTCCCGAGGGAAGCCTCCGGACTCTGGGGAAAATGAAAAACGGCCCTCCGAGAAGTTCCTGTAGGCCACGCCCACCATGGCCGCGCCCACCCAGCAACGGGGTAGCAATTTTTGAATCCCACCCCTGCCTAAATGGACAACTATGTCAGAAGTTGTGCCAAACTAACCAGGATCCACAGATTCAGGTAGTGGGGTTTGTCGATAAAGACGATCCTTTAATTTAACTTTAATTTAGCACGGCCCTTAAAAGGATTCTGTGAACAAGTGAACGTATCACCTATTCACATTCTGACTGACAAGTCCAATCACGAGATAAACTCTTCTCCTGATCGAGTTTAAATCATGATTATTTTTAAGAAAAACCAGCCCGTTTTGAATCTCAAGTCGGCTTTTCCTTCACTCTTTCCGAGACCTAAAATTTGTCTTGAAGGTGGACCAAAATGGGTTTTCCAGTTTGGCTCAATTGGCTAGTATGGAGCAGGGGTGGGATTCAATTTTTTTTATTACCTGTTCCGTGGGTGTGGCTTGGTGGGCGTGGCAGGGGAAGGTTACTGCAAAATCCTCCTTCCCTCCCCACCCCACTAACCTGCTTTCCAGCTCCGTTCTCCTGTGCAGGGCAACCAAAGGAGACCCAGCCAATCAGCTAGGACTCAGGAGGTGGAGAATAGAGAGGGGCGGGGCCAGTCAGAGGTAGGGTTTGCTGGTTCTCCGAACTCCAAATTTCCGCTACCGGTTCTCCAGAACCGGTCAGAACCTGCTGAATTCACCACCTCTGGTATGGAGGTGAGGTGAAATTCAGACTCCTCCACTCAGGTAGTCCTCAACATATAACATTCACTTAGTGATTTTAAGTTACAACAGCACTGAAAAAAAACCTGACTTATGACCATGGTAGCCATTCCCTGTTCACAGGATTGAAATTCAGAGGCTTGGCAACTGACTCGTATTTATGACGGTGGCAGTCTCCCCTTTTGCGACCTTCTGACCGGGAAAGTCAACGGAGGAAGCCCGATTCACTTAACAACAGTGTTACTAAGTTAATAACAGTGGCGATTCCTTTAGCAACTGTGGCAAGAAAGGTCGTAAAACAGGAGAAAACACACAACCATTGGTTTGCAATTGGAATAGAGCTGGAAGGGTCTTCTAGTCCAACCCCCGGCTTAGGCAGGGGACCCTATACCAGTGGGGTCAAATTCGATTTCATGGAGGGCTGCACCAGGGTTTGTTTGATCTTGGGGAGGGGGCAGGGGGGGGCGTGACTGAGCTGGACATGGCCAATTCAATGTCACTTGTGTCAGGGCACCTGTGGTGGCCAAGGGCTAAGGCAGGAGTTCCCTGAGACCTTCTCACTCTCTCATTATAATCTCTTTCTTTCTTTCTTTCTTTTTCTTTCTTTCTTTTTCTTTCTTTCTTTCTTTCTTTCTTTCTTTCTTTCTTTCTTTCTTTTCTTTCTCTTTCTTTCTTTCTTTCTTTCTTTCTTTTTCTTTCTTTCTTTCTTTTTCTTTTCTTTCCCCTTCCTTCCTTCCTAACTTTCTCTTCCTTACTTCCTTTCTCTTCCTTCCTCCCTCCCTTCCTTCGTTCCTCTTTCTTTCCTTTCTTTTTCTTTCTTTCTCCTTCCTTCCTTCCTTCCTTTCTCTTTCTTTTTCTTTCTTTCTTTCTCCTTCCTCCCTCCCTCCCTCCCTTCGTTTCCTTTCTTTCCTTTCTCTTTCTCCTTCCTTCCTTCCTTCCTTCCTTCCTTCCTTCCTTCCTTCCTTCCTTCTTCTTTTCCCTTCCCTCTTCATTCTCCTTTCTTCTTCCTTCCCATCTTCCCTTCTTTCTCTTTCCCTTTCTCCTTTTGTTTGGTTCACCGTTTGGTTTGCTAGCCCTCTGCCAGCCACAACGGAGCTCAGAGAGGTTGCGTGTGAGGCCCCGGGCCACATTCTCAGCCACGATGGCCTCCTGCAGCCCTCTACCAACAAAAACGGAACTCCGTTCTCACTAGTAGAGAATTGCAGGAGGCCGTTGTGCCCGAAAATGGTGCCCGGCTGTGCGGCGATGTGCGCGGTCCATCGGAGCTCTGTTTTTGCTGGCAGAGGCACCACGGGCTGGGCCTTTGCTGTTTCCAAGCCGTCCCTGTGAGCCACATCTAAGCTCCCCGCTGTCTGGATCTGGCCCATGGGCCTTGAATTTGACACCCTTACCCTATATGGGGAACCTTTTTGTTGTGGGGTGCTGAAAGCACGCCAGTACCCACAAGTAATGCACCCCCCACCCATGCACCTGCAACACCCCCCCGCCCCTTACCTGCATTGTGCATGCACGCACCTCCCAGCTGATTTTCAGCCTGTTTGAGGCCTTTTTCACCCTCCCAGAGGTCCAAGGGAAGCCTCTGCAGCCTCGGGAGGCCATAAAATAGGCCTTCTGGAAATACCGGAAGTGATGAAACGGGCCTGTTTTTTGGCCTCCAACGGCTGCAGAGGCTTCCCTCGAACCTCTGGGAAGCAAATGCCTCAAATGGGCCGAAAATCAGCTGGAAGGCACACACATGCGCAGTGCAAGTAAGTTTGGCTGGGGCTCGTGTGCCTGTACAAATGGCTCTGCGTGCCACCTGTGGCACTCATGCCATAGGTTCAGGGGTGGGATTCAATTTTTTAACAACTGGTTATGTGGGCGTGGCTTAGGGGGTGGGTGTGGCTTGCAGGTCATGTGACTGGGTGGACGTGGCTTGGTGGTCATGTTATTGGCTGGGTGTGGCCAACTCAATATCACTTACATCGAGGCATGCATCTCCTTGCCTGGCCTCTCATGACTGTGGGGATGCTGCAACAGTCATAAGTGTGAAAAATGGTCATAAGTCATTTTTTTCAGTGCCATTGTAACTTTGAATGGTCACTCCACACAAGCAAAGTACCAGCAAAGGAGGGGGAAAAAACTCCAGAGAAGTTCCTGAGACAGGAAGTCTAGTCCTGCCAAGAATGTAATAAGGGTTAACGGAGAGGCAGTTTCTGTAAGCAACACCAGAATGTTTCCTTCCTGCCTTCCTTACAGGATTAGACCAGTAACTTCTTCTAACAACCGGTTCTCCGAACTGCTTAGAATGTTAACAACCGGTTCTAGCGAATAGGTGCGAACTGGTAGAATCCCACCCCTGTATAGGTTCGCCATCACGGCCCCATACCCTTTCAGACAAGTGGCTATCCAGTCTCACTTAGCGACAAAAACATGGGGCTGAATTGCGAACTAAATTGTATTCCCTTCAAGAAAGACTTCATGCTTGGATGCCAGGCCTTTTTTAAAAAATAAGGGTTTTGCTTTTAATCTGGCTTATTTTTTTACACCCCCTCAGGAATGGCAAAGGTGGGAAAAAACATCAGGGTTGTGAGGTAGTCTCTCCCACGCTTTCGGCAAGATACGGTTTAGTCTTAAGCAGTATGGAATCACGCCACTGTTCGTAAACCAGCGTGTACGTTTCCGCTCTTCGGATGGTGAACCGATACAACCGGTCAGACAAGAGGTTGTGGATTTCACACGTGTTGGAGGTGACTGGCATAATTCCACACTGGACTCGCTCTTGAGGAGTTCTGGGCTCCAACAGCCGAAACTGGAGTTCGAACTGATCCAGCTGGGACTGCTGGCTCGTGATCAGCCATTTGAGGCTGACCCAGTCCTCGTGGGCCGCAGATTCCCTCCGGTCAAACATGACGGGCATCTTGGTACTCAGGACTAGTCTGATGTGTGGGATTTTGGTGATCCCAACGTCAGAGACCAGCCGGTGTTTGATGTACAACCGTCCGGGGACCAGCATGGCCAGGAAATAATCCATCTGTTCCGAAAGTTTGGAGACCTTCTGCTTGACCGTGTCCCACCTGGAAAGGAATGCCATCATGTCGTAAGTCTCCAGAAGGTGGACCAACTCCTCCCGACCTCTCTCTAATTCTTCTAGCAGGTCAGACAGGAGCAGCAGTTGAATTTTGGTCTGGAGGGTGCCCACTTTTTTCATCCTTTGGAAGCGCCAAGGATCGATCAGTTGGAACATGGTGGTGGGTAGCATCAGGTGGCTCTGATCCCCCAGAGCCAGGTGCTTGGGCAGGATTTCAAGGTAGTAGGAGCACTTCTTGAGAAGTTCAATCCTTTTGTGGTGCCGCCGGAGCAGGTGGAGGCTGAGGTCCGCGTGCAGGAACTCCAGCACCACGTTCTTCCTCTCCAAGTAGACACTCCAAGCTTCGTTCTCACGGTCTTCGTCATGGTACGCCGTGGTTGGGAGGTTGGCTCCTAATTTGTTCAAGTAGACGTCAATCGTTCCAATGTCCATCCTACCTGGGCTGGAAGAAGCAATCACAAAGGATTAAAAAAAAAACCAAACAAACCGGCGTCATCTTTCAGACATCTATGTATTTCGTGTATGGCATTATAGAGATCGCGCCATCAAATTTAGCCCACTTAAAGCGTCAGCAAATATATACAGGTGCTCTGTTTCCCTGAAAATATGACTTACCCTGAAAGTAAGTCCTAGCTTGATTTTTACACATGCACCCAATATAAGCCCTACCTTCAAAATAAGCCCTAATTAAGATTCCACCCACTCCAGAGTGGACGGGTAAAAATTAAGCTAGGATGGGGATGGTGGGGTGGAGCTGCCCTACTACTTACCTTTGGACAGGTGTAGCCAGGCCTCGCACACCCCGACACCTGCCTTGCTGGTCCATTTCTTCTGCAGCCGGCAAGGCTGGGAAGGCTTTCCTGGAGGCCTCCAGAGCTGAGAACAAAGCTCTGGATCGATCCAAAGGTCTGTTATCCCCTGCAGAGGCCTTTGGGAAAGCCTTGCCGGCCGCAGAAGAATAAATTCCTGAAAGCCTCTGACAACGAAAAGTTGGCCGGGGGCAACGCGTGCAAGTGAGGTTAGTCAGTGGATGGCATCCCCCCGAAAATAAGACCTGGTGCCTTTTTTGGTGGCAAAAAAATATAAGACAGGGTCTTATTTTTTAGGGAAACACAGTAGTTCTCGACTTACAGCAGTTCTGTCAGCTTTCTGAGTAATGCACCCATCGAAAGCAGAACTCTGAGGCAGGTAGATTCCTCAAAGAACATGTTTATTGGATACATCATATCAGCATATGAAATTATATATACATATATGTGTGTGCGTGTGTGTGTGTATAAAATCTATCATCATCTATCTTTCTCATCTAGGCATCTAGCTATCAACTAGCTATCTACTTATCTCTCTTTCTACACACACATACACACACATACACACGTGTGTGTGTTTTCTTAAGTTTTCACGGGTACTTACATGTATGGTATTCAGCTTTGTTCAGGTATTTTCCCACGTCATTATAGTTGTGCTTTCAAAGTTGTAGCAACGTTTCGGCAGAATCTCATCTGCCATCATCAGGCTTCTGTATTGTGTTCATCTGTATTATTCTATTCTATTCTATTCTATTCTATTCTATTCTATTCTATTCTATTCTATTCTATTCTATTCTATTCTATTCTATTCTATTCTAATCAAGTGTTTGATCCTGGATTGTATAGAGTCATTTCTGGAGTTTTCACACATTGTTATTGGTTTCCCTCCCCATTCCTTTGTCCTTTCCTGCTAGGTCACCTGTAACTTTACACAGGGATGATGGGGGTTGGTACGGGTTCGGGAGAGCCCCTAGCTAAAATTTTGGGCAGTTTGGAGGACCCCAAAATCCCCACTCCTGGCTGGCCCCGCCCACCCCGCCCCTCCTCTCCCAGGAGTCCCCACGTGGCCCGTTTTGAATGCCCAAGTAAGCACAGGGTGCACACGGAGGCCAGGGAAGAGTGAAAAATGGGCCTCCCAGAAGTTCGGGAATGCTGGAAATGGGCCCTTTTCCAGCTTCCGGAGAGCCTGCAGAGTCTACACCATTTCTGGACAGATGGCAGTGCAGTCTCTTCTTGTAATGAAGCTCCCACAACTTCCAAGGGCAACTTCTGTTCCATGGGTTGATGGTTCTCACTGTCAGAAAATTCCTCCTTATTTCCAGGTTGAATCTCTCCTTGGTCAGTTTCCATCCATTATTCCTTGTCTGGCCTTCAGGTGCTTTGGAAAATAGCTTGACCCCCTCCTCCTCCCTGGGGCAGCCCCTCAAATATTGGAAGATGCTCTCCTGTCTCCCCTGGTCCTTCTCTTCACTAGACTAGCCAGGCCCAGTTCCTGCAACCGTTCTTCAGACATATTAGATGGATGGATGGATGGACAGATAGATAAATGATAGACAGAGAGACAGAGGTGGATAAATAGAAAAATAGACAGGCAGACTGGCAGTCCTCCAATATTGGAAGAGTGCTATCCTGTCTCCCCTGGTCCTTCTCTTCCCTAGACTAGCCAGGCCCAGTTCCTGCAACCGTTCATCGTATATTTTAGCCTCCAGTCCCCTAATCATCCTGGTTGCTCTTCTCTGCACTTTTTCTAAAGTCTCAACATCTTTTTTTATAGTGTGGTGACCAAAACTGGATGCAGTACTCTAGATGTGGTCTTACGAAGGCTTTACAAAGTAGTATTAGTACCTCTCTTGATCTTGATCGTATCCCTCTGTTAATGCTCTCATGATATGGAAGCTGGCTTGCTAGGATACATAACATAATGCTAAGCCATAAATGGGAGTTAACAAACAGACTTGAGTGTAATGCACCTTAGCACATAAAGTGATTTGCTTCATTTTTGGGATCTTAGGGCAGGGTTTGCCAAGTTTGGTGACTTGAAGATGTGTGGACTTCAACTCCCAGAATTCCCCAGCCAGTCTGGTGCTAAAATTTGCAAGAAATTCTAATTTTTTTCATCATGATAGGCCTAGCAATCATCATTAAACTTGGCAAGTTTAGGACTTGTGGACTTCAACTCCCAGAATTCCTGAGCTAACATGACTGGAGGAGGAATTCTGGGAGTTGAAGTCCACAAGTCTTAAAGCTGTCAAGTTTAAAGAGCCCTACTCTAGAGCTTAGACCAGGGTTTTTCAACTCTGGTGACTTTAAATCCTGTGGACTTCAACTCCCAGAATTCCCCAGCCGGCTGGGGAATTCTGGGAATTGAAGTCCACACACTTCAGATGGCCAAGACTGGTGGGGGGGGGCACCTAATTTAGTGATTGTAGTGGGTTCTCGTGCTGTGCCCAGACAGGTAGACACTGCCTAACAGTGGGGGCTCAGCATCCCCATGAAGCACTAAACCAGGTTGCCTCCAGAAGTTGCAAATGCTCCAACACTGGAAGTTTCTCAAAAGAGATTGGACAATCCTTTTGTTTGAACCGCGATAAGGGGTTGGTCTCGACGACCTCCAAGGGTCCCTTTCCAACTCTTCTGTTCTAAAGACGGGGAACTGGGGCTCCAGCGTGTGGAGGAAGGGAGGGAACTGCGCCATCGTGGCTCAAAAAGGATCAAGCGATGCGCGGAGTTGGAACAAACCTTGCCTCCGTGTCACGTGTGAACCCGACTCCTACCTGCGTACCGTGCGGATCCAGAAAGCCGGGAGGAGTTGTGGGGGGGAAAGCCCGGAGGAGTTGTGGGGGGGAAGCCCCCAAACCCCAAAGAGTCCACATTCCCCCACTGGACCCCCAGCCCAACCCAGGGTCCGCGTTCCCTCGTCTCGTGGGAATGCGCTCCTTGCCGCTTTACCCCCCCACTCCCCGTATCTGGTGTGACTCCCCGTGTGTGTGCACGTGTGAATCCCCTCCCCGTGTCCCCACTCTCGCCTGTTTCCTGGGGGGGGGAGCGAGAGGACCCCACGAGGGGCTTACCTGTGGCTTAGCATGGTTGGTCCCGGGGCAGCCGCTCGCCCTCCGCCCCCCCTTCTGCCAGCCGGGCCAGGGCCAGGGTCGCACCGGGGGCCGGACGGGACCGGTCGCCCTAGCAACTCATTGTGCCGCGGGGGGGCAGCAGGGTTCTGGAGCCCGCGGGCGCCGCCTCGGCGATGGGAAACGGAGAGAGCCGGGCTGCTTAAGGAAAGTAATTTGGGGGGGGCGGGGGGGTGGGCGCAGAGGAAGATTCAAGACCCCTTGGAAGAATTTGGGGGGGAAGGGGAAAAATGGGAAGCAGCCCCCTCCCTCTGGGGGTCTTGGAGAACTAAGCAGGGCAGTCCTGGGGGAGACGCCGGGGCAGGGTTACGCCATCTTGAGCACTTTTAAGAGGTGTGGACTTCAACTCCCAGAATTCCCCAGCCAGCGAAGAAAGAGGAGGAGGAGGAGGAGGAAGGAGTCTTGGGGGTTGAGCTGTTGAGTTCCTTGACCTTTCTGTGGACGAATAGTAGGTACATTAAAATGAGTTCAGTTAGCACTGAGTTGCTTGGATTCCGTAGAGCAGCAAGACACCAAATGCCCTCTGTTTGTCTGTCTGTCTGTCTTCCTTCCTTTTCTTCCTTCCTTCCTTTTCTTCCTTTTCTTTCTTTCTTTCCCTTCCTTCTCCCTTTCCCTTCCATCCCTTCTATCTATCTATCTATCTATCTATCTATCTATCTATCTATCTATCTATCTATCTATCTATCTATCTATCTATCTATATCTATCTTCTTGCTTCTCTTCCTTCCCCCTTTTCCTTCCTTGCCCTTTCTTTCCCTCCATCTATCTCTCTAATCTTATCTTCCTTCTTCCCTCTCTCCTTCAAACTTCCTTTTTTCTTTCTCTCTTCTTTCTTTTTTCTTTCTTTCCCTTCCTTCCCTCTTTTCCTTCCTTCCTTCCATCCCTTCAACTCACTATC